TTTTTCTGCGTTTTGTTAAGATTTGAACTTAAAAATCACACATCATTGTAAAATCAATTCATTCGTCGCTAATCTAAAAAAGAATGTCACTGTGTGTGTGTGTGTGAAAGAGTATAATGATAATATTGAAATCGCAACTACAGTGGGCAGCATATTATTGTTATTATTTCCGTGCATCCGTAACGATAATTATTATTATCAGACCGACCGAGCGCGTAAACAGTCGTCAAGGACTCACCACCACTCACTGGACTATAACTCTATATTATTACAAAATGATACTGTTCTATGATGATACCCAGACACCTATTATATAATTTACCAATAATATGTGATATTATTATATTATTATACATCGTCACACCGTGCAAGCAACTGCTACCGGTGAATGAAATGCGTCGGTGGTCGGGGTAACGGCACAACGCTTACCAAAACTTTGGGCAACGAGTGTGCGTCGTTTCTTATGTTTTGTAATTGATATTGTCGTATCTAATTGTTTTGTTTATCGCTTTAGTCACGGTTTGCGACTGCCCTAGGAGGCGATCCGACGAGGTTTGAAGTCTCGCCAGATCGTTTTTAATACACGTGCTCAGACGCACGTATCCTAGCTGTACGATTGTATACGTGCGCGAGAGTCGGTCATTATATTTTGCGTAACCTTGGACGATTTTAAAGTCCCTGCATGGACGTCCATCGTTTCCCTTGAGAACTCTGACCATGTTATTATTACCTGTGTTAATTCAACCCATAACAATCGGCAGGGACGTATGCAAGAAGGGATGTTGGGTCAGATGCTCCATAGCCAATTTTTTTCAAATTCAATATTTATATTGTACAAATAAAATATTATGTATTTATTTCATTACAATAATTAATATTTTTAACTTTGACCTACCTATAATTTGATATAGATATGTAGTAAATAGTAATACATAGGCGTATTTAGGGAGGACTTGGCAACCCCAGTGTGAATATTAACCCCTCTAGAATTATTGTTAATGCAAAATCATGAAAATATTATTATACGTTTACTAATATTATCACTTTTGTAATTGTTTATCAGTTAATCACAATTGTGTTTCACATCAGAACATAATAAACAGGGGCGGAGTGGCTCCAAAATTCTTACCGGGCAAACCGATATTTTCAGGCCACTTTTTAATATGAGCCCTATGTACATTGACATAATACATTTTTTTTTGGAATGCGTTTATATAATTGCTTATGTCCAATCAATGTAAGTACACAAAACACTGATCAGTGATCACTCATCACATATGTCTTCTTATATTGTTTTCAGTTTCACAGTAAACTATTATAATATTATAGGTCCTTATACTAATATATTAATTAACAATGAACACATTTTTATATTTTTTTTAGTGAATTATGTTTTTGCCACCGATCTTTTGGAATTTTTTAACTAAATGTTATTAGTTTTATTTGATTTTAGCTGTAAATAATCTACAAATTATACGGTATAAGGTTTAAGGTTTCAAAATGATAACAAATACTTAACATTGTTTAGCATATCCTCTTATTTAATATAAAACAGAACTTAGAGTAACCTGGGGTATAATGGCGCACCTAACATTTAACAGCTGATATGTGGTAGCATACAAGTTTTAGAAATATTGTTATATTGTTTTCCCATCATAAATATTACGTAGATTTCAATTTTCAGGTCAAAATTTAATTTTACCTAAGCAAATACCAAAAATTCTGAATAATTGGAAATTATAACAGATGCGTCTTTTTACCCCGTTATTGGGGTAAAAGTGCGCACCTAATGGGGTAATAGGCCGCATGCTAAATTAATTCATAAAAATCTATTTTATTAAAGAATGTTATCTATTTTATTTTTATCAAATAATAAGTTATAAATATATATAATATGCATGCATAATATAAAAGTTCCTAATATAATATATAATTAATACAGTATTAGTAATAAATACTACGTCGAAGTAATTTTTTTATGTATAATTATTCAATAAATATTACATAATATTATTTAATCAATCATTTGTTGATACATCATAGATATAATGTACCTATTAGTTTAAATAAATTAATAAATAAATAGATATAATTAATTCAATTTCTAGCTAGAAAAATTAAATGTTTATAAAAGTAGGTAATCAATTATCATATATGAAATACTGCGCACTCTTACCCCAAAACCCACTAAGCCATTTTACCCCAATATGATTTTCTGCATAAACAATATTGTAGTATATTCAGGGCCGTTCCGAAGGGGGGTTTTAGGGGGTGTCCCACCCCCCTGAGCGTATAATATGTATATGTCAGTTGGCACATTGATACCTACATTAGGTATTTGAGTTGGGCAGTTGGCACTCGGCAAATTATAATTTTTTTTTTACAGTTTTTTAATAATTTTGTATATACTACTAAGTCCAAATATATCATAATAATATATTGTAATTTATAATAATATGAAGGTATTATAAGTTAATTTTCCGATTGCCAACTGTCCAACATAGTTATACTATTATAATATTTTAGACTTTACCTATCAATGTATCATATATAATATTATAACAGTATACAAATTTGCCTATACATATTCGAATAATCACAGAATAAAATTTTTTTTTTTAGTTTGCAAATTATGAATCAAACCACCCCCCCATGATTTGTCTTTCGGGACGGCCCTGAGTATATTCAGTTGTTATCATATTAATATTTTACTAGTATTGACGTTTAGTCACCTACTTGTACTAAACGAATATATAAAAGCAACATCTAACGTGTCGTTATATAGTACACATTACTACTTCTATTATAGAAGACCCATATGGAAGTAGTATAATACTACTCAAATATTACATCAGACGAATACAATTAATATTTTACCTCATATTGCCGCCAAAACATCATCAATTGCTGAAAAAAATGTTTTATCACGTTTGGCTATGATAACATAATCATAATAACAAAAATGTTTGACCAGATAGCAATTATTTAATTACTTATACCATTGATTATATAATATTATATATATTAATATGTATCATCGGCCTCCACTCAGAGAGCAATATTTACTCTACGCCTCCACTGTAACGGTTATCAGTTAACTGCAACTAAATGTGATTACGACAATATGAATGATAATAATTTATAAATAACCCTATTAGTTGAACTCATCATTTATCCTATTTTCATTATCCTACCAATTTAGACTCAACATTATACATTTATAACCAAAAATTAAACGCATCATAAAATTATTGAATAATAGAAATATAGAATGATGGCCGATGGGCCACATTTTGTATAAGCAATCCAGGCCACCGGGAAATGTCCCGGTTGCCCGGTGGGCCACTCCGCCCCTGATAATAAATAATATCATTTTAGACTCTGAGCGGAGTGAGTTAGTACTTTTGAAAGGTAAAAAATTTCTAATACTTTTCAAAATAATATCGGGAAAAAGAAAAAGGTAAGGAAAAACGGGAATTTTTAAGCAATACCAGTTTTCGACAAAATCAATATTGTTTTTTTGGTGTAAGTATATCTCAAAAAACAAATAACTGTAAATAACTACATATAAATATCACTAAATTTGTTTATGTGTTTTGAGCTATTTTAGACATGTATTGTCATTTTTTATTTTATGTAGTTTTTTCTACTTTCAATGTCAATATTTTCAGTTGGTCAACAAGTTGGAAAATTGAAAACAAATAGTTGCTCATAATTTGTTCATACTATAAAATTTTATAAATATTGAATACCGAAAAACCACATTTTTATATTTATTTGAAATTTTTTGATATTGTTTATTCGCACCCTTAAATCAACTATTTCTCCTCAACCGGTTTTAGATATTTGGTTGTAATTCAAAAACAAATAACCGTAGATACTTGAAAATTTTTCACATAATACTTATATTAGCATGTTCTATACGTACATGGAACTATTTTGAAATTATTTTGTCGTCTTTTAATATTATAGCAATTTAAACATATTAAAGATACATGGGCATGATTTAAAAAAAAAAAAATTATTTCATTATCATAAATCGTTCAAAGGGACCATTGAAAATGTATAGTGGGGCTTCATCCCCCCCACCCTCCAGTATATTTGATCTATGTATATGTAGTAATAATTTACCTTACAAGTGTGCAATTATACCAGAGGTGGCACAAGAGGGTTATTGTATCACTTCTAAAATATGGTAGTGGGTAGGTACCTAATGGTTTCTCAGAAAGTATTAGGTATGTTTATTTATATTAGATTTATTTTAGGGGGAGGGGGAAAAAGGGGGCTGTTAGGTATGTTAATTTCTTTAAACTTTCATTGATGTAATCTTTCCATAACTCCATTAATTTATTTCCTATAATTCATTTTATACTTTTATATATTGTAATTTGTTGCCATAATTGTAATATTATAATATTAGCATTTATATCTTAATCATATTAAACATGGAATTTTTTCTATCCTTCCCAAAAAATTATGATGGTGTATATTACATTTTTTAATTGTCACTATTTTTAAATCTAATAATTTTTTTTCTTGTCGCACCTGGGTGGAAAAATTAGATTTATATACAGTATATTCAGTAGGCAAATCTATAGTAGTACAGTAGTATTTTATATGGGGTGATACAATTATTATTATTTCACATATTTATCAGAGACAAAAATGATGGTAAATAATTTAATTTCTTATTGAACAAAACACTTTACATGGACTAATGCAAACTATGCAATTTTTTTTTAGAGTCTGCTTTCTTAATAATATAGGAACATTTGACGAGGTTTACAAAATAAAAAATAAAATAGAATTTTTATATAAAATTAAATTATTATAATTTATTAAGTAAAGTATTTATAATAATTTAATAATAAATTGCATATTAAAACATGTAAAAATAATACTGTGATGTTAAAATTTAAATTAAGATATAAACATTAAAAAAAAAAACTGAATCAAAAAGAAAATTATTGACTTGTTATACGTGAATTTAATTTTAACATTTATTTTTTAGTATACTTGTGAACCATGCCACCGTATCTAGCTATGAAAGCATTTATGTCAAACTTTCTCTTGCATCCTGCATAGTTCATATATCTAATTTTTCCAAAAATTTCTCTTTCTTTCCACCCCTGATCATGAATACCACATATTGACCACATACATCCAACAAAACCACTTGGGTCACGACCATCCATGCTATATTTGTCATTGAGATAAATTGCATCTGCTAGTGCTCTTTCTGGAGTATCGGTCCATTCCAGTATCTTTTTTGCCCAGTACATACGTAGGAAACCGTGCATCTTGCCTTCCTTTACCAACTGTATTTGTGCAGAATTCCACAGATCGTCATGCGTGCGTGAACCTTCCAACTCTTCTCTGGTGTACACAAACATTCGTTTATCTTTTCTAAACAAAATATACAATATGTTTATTATTAATTATTATGATTTATGACTGAAAGCAGAGTAATGCAAACAAAAATAGAACTTGCCTGTGTTCATTTAAAGATGTTTGAGCCCAGTTAGGTGCACCTTCAATCTTATCATATTTTGGGTTGTAGAAACAAAAGTTGTCAGAGAGTTCTCGTCGAACAATTGCTTCTTCCCTATAAGCTGCCACACTCTCCGGGTACTGTTTTGATAGTTTACTAACTTCTAAGATACATCTTTGAGCTGATATCTGACCTGAAAATTATAAGTGTTTTCAATAAAATAAAATATTTAACATAAATATAATATGTTCTTACCAAAATGCAACCAAGGTGACAGTTTGCTAAGACCGTCTTTTATTGGATTATTTCGATCCGTAGAATATTTTGGCAATCTTTTTTTCAGAAACTGTTCTAATTCGCTCATACCAGCTTTGAAACCAGCCTTCAGACCTGGTACAGATACAACGCTACGGTCCACTTCTAAGGTTTTGTCGGCTTCATCCCAATTCGTTGGCTAATAGTATTGAATTAAAAACATCAAATAAGTTATTTTAATTGAAATGTTTTAAATCAATCAATTCCACTACATACTTTAGCTTTGAATGAACTGTGAAATGGATGTTTGATCACTGGTGGAAATTCTGTTAAAAACTCTGGTAATTTGTTATTGATTTTGTTTCGTATTGTTCTTGCAGCATATTCTTGTTTGTCAGAAGCCACCCAACAAGGTACAATATTATGGGCATCTACCTGTATAACTGGTACTTCAGATCCAATACGATCAGCTAATTGTTTAGTCCATGACATATGTTCTCGCACAGGCATAAAATCTACAATTATTGCACCCAGTTTATGCTTCTTTACAAAATCTGGTAGTATGTCTGCCGCACAACCAATTAAGAAATGAAATTGGATATCTAGTGATTTACACTCAGTTTCTAGTTCTTCCAAGCCTATTTTTTAAAAAAATAATAAAATAGTTAAGTTCAGTTTTTAGTTAAAGAAACAATATAGTTCATACATAAAATACATTATTAAAAGTATAACTACACCTTTTTTTATTTCATCAGCTCATTATAAGTTTTACTTTTAACTAATATGTTAATTTTGTTTTACATGAAGTAAATTCAGTAAAATACTTATGGGATTGGTATTGCCATTGAATCTTGATTATATAAACCAAATAAATATATTTAGCCATGATACAATTAATAATATAATCAATGGTATTACTATATTTTTTTGCCAAATACAAACAAACACAGCAAAATACTTTTGAAAAAGAAAAACCCTAAATAGCGTAAACATTGCTTAATGATGGTTGGTTTGATTTATAACCCATACATTAGTTCACTCTCAATAACGAAACAATATTTTCCATTTAATTTTTGTTGACATGTTGTTAGCATATAATAATAATCGGTATTAATGCCAACATTTCCAAGAAAGAGAAAATTTTTTTACTATTTTTATTGTTAAATATGCACATATTTATGCACACAAAAATTCAAGGATACTCCTTAACAAGTTGACTGCGTATGTCTTTTTGCAGTTTTCCCCCAGTGCGTATGATAAAAGTAAAAACAAAAGAAATTAAAAAAAAGAATATAAAGAAACTGCTCATAACGATGTATGTATACATATTTAAAAACATGCGTTTAATCCACGCTAAATAATAATAAAATAACATTCAGCCACGCTTAGGGAATTTTAAACCATTTATTTTAAATGTATATTAGACGCCATATGGCGTCAAACGCGTTGCTGAATGATACTTATGACACCAATTGGCGTCAGTACGCAGTGAACGTGTTAAGCAGTACAAAAAAATCTAAAGAATTCAAAAATATGGTCTTTAAATATATTTTTAAATTCCAAAAATCTGATTTTGAATAACTGGATTATTGAGGGAAAAAAGGGGGTGAGCATTCTTGGTGAATCACCTTGTATATTTGTAATGAGTACAATGGTTATAATTTTACTATACATTAGAAACCAATTTGTATTAAAATATTAAATATATTATTTTTTTTACCTTGAAATATATGTTTATAATGCCGTAAGCTGCAGTCCAAAAATTGTTTCAGTCTACAAAATGTGATATGTAATGAAACTTTGTTTTTAATTGCTAATTTTTGTGCATAAAGTAATGCCCAGTTATCTGGAAAAGAAATGTTATAAAAAGATACAAAATTACATTAAATATTTAATTTACCATGAATACGTTCATCTCTGAAAGTCCAATAAATAACTCCTTCAGCCCATTCGGGGACTTCTTTTCGTTCAGATAACACACGTACACGTTTCTTATTGAATTTAAAATCCATTATAGAAGAAGCGGTCTATAGATAAGAATTTTGTTATATTAATGTACTAACTGATCAAAGAATTAGCTTACTTTATTACGCTCTGCTGCTACATCGTTTAAGAAGTTACTGGTTTTTGAAGTGCCAACTTCGGAAATTGTTTTCTTAAACTTCTTGGTAAGCGGTTCATTTCCAGACATTTTATATCTTATACTAAAAAAAATATAATCATTTATTTTTAAGTGTTAAATTGTATTATTTAGAATAATAATATAATCAAGTAGTAGTATCTGGATTCATTAAATTGATAACGAGCAAGTACTGGCAACAAAGAGTGAGTGATTGCAATGACTTACAATAGGGTGCAAGAACTTACAACAGTCAGTAAGTAGGTACTTGCAATGACTTGCAACATAATGCATTATGTACTTCCAACTGGGAGCAAGATATTCAACAGGGTGCTTGTAAAGTACTTGCATGTGAAGTAGTTGCTAGCTGTTGAAAGTTCTTCCACACTGCTGCAAGTATGTGCTCCCTCTTGCAAGTCATTGCTCGTTGTTGCTCAACGTTACAAATCCTTGCTAGCTGTTATATGCCATTACACCCTGTTGCAAGTCTTTGCAGCTTATCATTGCAAGCACTTGTTTTTTATTGCCAGTACTTGCTCGTTGTTTCAAGCCCTTAAGATACGGTTTCGTTAAAGCAGTTGACTGCATGACTGGTCTGAGCACCAGTATTTTGTATGACTGCTGCAAGTCAACTGCGTTAATGAAACCGTACCTTTATTCGCCATTGCAAGTTCTTGCACCCTGTTGAATGTCCTCGCTCCCTGTCCCAAAATATAAAAAAAGTGTAACGTACCTTACTTAACTTATATTCAAATTTCCTAGTTACTAGTTTGATACTTCAAATTCTTCAATAGTTTAATGCAAAGTGAGATTGTGTGAAGTAGATAATTTTAATTGGTAATTTGTAAAAGTATATAATCGTTAGACTATCTTATTATTGCGTATTTGTTTATGATAGTATAATGTATAAGTAAATCATAAACACTATTTAAAAGTAATAGGTAACAAATTTAAAACAATATAAACATTTAAAATACAAAAATAATAAATTAATAAAATATGTTAAATGCTTGGTTCATCGTGATTACTGGTTTGATTAAAGATCTGGTTTGATATGGAAATTGGAGCAGAGAAGAATTTGGAGGTTTGATTAGTCTGTGGTTTGAATCTACTAACCACAGGTTACCGCTGATATGAAATTGGTTGATACTGTGGAAGTATATTAAATTGTATTTACCAGAAATATTGAGGGGTCATTAAAATAACTAAATAGGTACAATTGTTTTTAAGAGGATAGCAATCTAACAATTATTTTAACCAAAATGTACCAATCTATTGTCACCGATGGACCTGATAACGCGATAAAACTTCTGAAAAATGATTTGAATTTGTTAATATGTCTACATCAGATCGATCAGGCCACATTTTAAGATATTCGAATAATCAACATTTAAAATTTCATACCATTAATATACTTATTAATATGGATCTTCGTTCAAAATGGTTATTCGAATGTAATTATTTATAATATTGAAATCAAATTTTACACATACAGTGACACGTACAATGATGAGGTAGGTACATTATTTATTCGACACCTACTGTAAAACAGAGTGGTTATCTGTTTCCCTCCTTTTTCTATTACATATCGTTGCCATCTTTACGGCTAAACACATTATAACACAATATATTTAGTATTGTTAACTACGTACTATTCAAATTTTCCGTACAACAATTTTTAACAGTAAACACAAAATTTATTCTCAAATTTCAACACCAAACACATCATTCGTTTTTCGGACCGCGTTGGACACTTGTAGATGGCCAGTAATAACCACGATGAACTCAAAGAAAACGGTGGCAAGAGATCCAACAACGATGGCGTGTGCGGCAAGTTGTCGTCGTCGTGCAATGAGTCGGCCGATCCGACTCAAAAGGTCACGTCGAAAGTCGGTGGCGAAAAGTCGTCCAAGAGCTCAAACGCCAAGTCGAAAGTCGGAAAGTTACGTCGAGGCAAGAACTCGGTAGGCACCTTGGACCAGGCGATCCGCAAGAGAAACATATTTACCGCTGTGGCCAAAATGCCGACCGAGATTCAGACGAGGTTGATCGAAAACGGCTGGATCGGCAAAATTATGGTCGCCGACGACTGTTTCCGTCGGAACGGTGAGTACCTCCCACTGGACTGAATACGAGGATATGGCCGTTTTTTTTTTGACATTTTGTTTATTAAAAAAATAATTTACGGTTAACAGATACACTGAAAACAATGGCATGGAGGGATCTGTCCTCCCCCTCCATACTCTTTTGTCCGCCACTGCCTGTTACATCAATTATTAACAAACCATTTAATTTTTATCTTTTATAAAAAAAATTAATATAGTTTCGATGAACCTAGTAAACCGTTGTGCTATATGGAAATTTAAGAACCTACCCACATAGCAACGTATATAATAGATTATTAATTACACAAGATTATAGGTAATTTATAATATTACAACAATGTTTTGGGTGTTACCCCTTTCACTCTCATTCCATTTCTCTAATTCCTTATATTTAGCAAAAACTAGTAAGTAGCAGATTTTTTTTGAAAACGATGATTATGACAGTTATTTTTCTATATATACCTACTTATCTATATATTATAATGTACTTACTGCTGAGTAAAGACTTCTAAGTTCTATTTGAGTTGCATTATCGTGGATTGGAAAATCTCTTGTTTTTTCTGTTCTGGTTTCAATTTCGTTTTTGACAAATACAATTTAATGTATTCAGTGTTTCGGTTCATAATACAAAAACATTTTGAATCAATGAATTCAAAAATACTACAATTATTAAAAAAATATATCAAAAGAACCGGTATTTTTTTTATTTAATAAGTAGTTTGGTACAATAAGGACAAAAATAATGTATACCTACATATTTTTATAAAGAAAAATTATTTTTAGTTAATTTTAATATTAAAATATATTTACTTAACTATAATCATATCAGTGATATATTTAAGAAATAAATCAATTTACATACACAAAATAGTTTAGAATAAAATTTTAATAAATTAAATCGTTAAACATTATAATATGTAGATATTCTTAACATTTACATCATAATATTGAGATATTGTTTATCTATTGTCCCGTGTTCGGCAATATGATAATGGTTTTTATTCGGCAACATGATTGTTATAATAGTACCTATTTTAGTTCTTTATAGAATATTTATTTAAAACAGTTCATTTGGACTGATAAACTGGTTTAATGAATGTTCTCTATTCTCTAAAATGTAGGGTCTAAATGACTAAATGTTAGTCACGTTCGTGGTTCGATTTTGATGTAACAACCATCAACTAATTTAAGTGTCATTAAAAACATTAATCTCAAGTCTTCTGGTGTAGGACATCTATCAGACGGGGAAAATTTTATTTTTCTCACTAGTGTGGAAATTACAGTTTTTATTTGAAGCATAGCATATTTGATTCCGATACAGTTTCTAAGCCCCGCACCGAATGGAATGTATGCATACGAATGTCGACTATCACAAGCGTCGGGCAAGAAGTTGTCCGGGTTAAACTTTTCTGAATCGGTGTAATACAATGGACTCGATTGTACAAATATTGGGCAAATAACCAACGCAGCACCTTGAAATTTGTAATTCACATATTTTTAGTACACCGTAAATGTATGTTTGTTTTAAAATTACCAGCTGGGCACATATATTCTCCTATTTGCATATCTTCATCTAATCTTCTGCCAAGAAATGGCAACGGAGGGAAAAGTCGCAATGTCTCTTTGATTACCATTTCGACGTATTTCATTTGTTGAACATCTTTATAAGTAGGTGGTACATTACGATCTTTGTTCAAAAATATCGATTGTAACTCTTCAAATACCTGCAAAATTAATTGAATTAACTATACAATATACATTTATACGTAATTTAAATATCTATTAGTAAAATATAATATGTGCCTTGTTTTGTACTTCCTGATGATGAGCTAACATGAAAATAGTACAAGTGATCGCCATAGCAGTTGTTTCTTGTCCTCCTGAAATATGATTAATATTATTTCGAGTAATTATATTTTAGTTTATAAATTATAATGTTTATAGACATTATAGAAAATCTTGTGACAAATCCTCTTGAAATATCATGTTTACAAATTTAAGGTGTGTACTGTGTACTGTACTTATTTATATATATATATTATAATATATGGAGGACGGAGTGGCCGAGTGGACCGTATCTCGACCACGGGCGGATCTTCTCTCTGGGTATCCCCCAACCGGGCATGGCAGAAACCTACAGGTGCCCAATTTGAAATTCTGCCAAAACCTACAGTACCCTCCCCTACAAACAAAACAAAAAAACAGCTAATGACCATAGTTGTCGGGTTTAATGATCAATAAAAAAAAAAATTTATTAATAATTATGTAATATAAGTTTATAAATATTTTTCTTTAATAATTAATACATAATGGCACAGAAATTAACATAAAATATGAAAAATATTTGAGATTTTATGATTTATAAAACACAAAAGTGGTTAAATAAGCCATAAGGTAGTCAGTTTAATTAAATAATAGTGGTGATAACAAGTAGAGAACGATCATTTATAAGAAGTTGAATATCAGGATAGGGTAACCTAAGAAAGACCGTCGAAATGGGTGGTTATATGTACTCGTATATGTGTATATGGGAAGAATAATGATGGGCAATGAAAGAGAATATGTATATTATTCAAAATAATAGTTAATTATTACTATTATTATTCGATATTGAAGAGAGCAAATTGGGTGTGGAGAATAAAGATAAAGAATTTTATATTATTTTAAATATTTCTGGATGTTTTCTTTGGAACGATAATAAGTAGGATGTTAGACGAAATATTTTAATTGGTTTTGATATTTACCAATCATAACTGTTACAATTTCGTCTCGTATTTGTTCATGGTCCATTTTATGAGAGCTTCCTAAAAGAATTTCTAAAACAGTTTTTGATTTTTGGCAACAGTCTTCATTATCTCTTTCTGTTTTTTTCTCACTGCTATTTATATTTTGGGATAATTCAATGATTTTTTGTTTTATAATTTCATCTGTCAATTTGTTAATGATTTTTTGACTTCGATCGTGTTCACGTTTCACCGATGAAAATCGGAATAATGTGTTGTTTAAGTACCATGGATGTGTAACTCTATACTCCCATGCCTAATTATTAAAATATGTGAACTTATTAATATGATCATATGAACAGCTGAATAAGTATTTCACAAAATATGATAGCATACATGCATTGCAGTTTGTAAATGTTCAACAAATTGATTGGAGCCTCCTGTTTGAGCATTAAATGTTACACCTAAAGCTGTTTTTCCGATCATTTCCATTGTAGCCATACTAACAGGACCACTAATATTACATTCATTTGATTTCAGGACACACTTTCCTTGAAGTATTTTGGCAAGCACGTTTGCTTCTTGGTAAAATATTGGTAAAAATGATTTTGTAGGTGTGAAATTGAAACCTTTAATTACTATTTTTCTAAAATAATATAGATAAAATATATATTATTTTCTGCTACATATAGCTTAACTTAGAATAACATAGTTAAATATTATTTTGCTATTTTAGTTAATTAGAAAATTAAACTTCTATATAGTATTTCAAATATTTTTATAATTTACCTGTTATTTTTCCATTTTTCAATATCGTCAATGGAAAATATTCCTTGTCCCATGATAGACTCTTGTAAAACCATATAATCCTTGGATTTTCTTAAAAATTTTGGATTGCCAAGAACTAATTCTATATCTTGATGTCTCGTAAGTACAATATATAAATTATTAAAAAGCCAGAATTTAATGATATGCTTCTCATATCTAAAACCGTTTTTAAAAAATATCTAAAAATTATATACACAGTATTTGTATGCCAATTAAAGTAGTTATATTTTTAAATTTTGGTTATTTTGGTTGTGAATTTTGGTAATTTTGGTACGTATATACCTATAGCTAAATAACATTTTATATTTGTTTATAATATTTGTTTATATTTCATATTGACCGTACAATATAGAGTATGATAATTAATAAGTATAACAATGAATGAATAAATAATGTTTATTAAAATTAAAATGTATATTTTATTAAATTTTAGATTCTGAGTGGAGCGAGGAAGCTATTGGTTTTACCTACAATGGTGTTTATTTTATTTTATTTTATTTTTATATTTTGTATACAAAATATCTACCAGAAGGAGTGCTTCGATTTCAACATATAGTACCTACCTTATCTTTTAGAAAATTGGATCAAGATGTTACTTTAGAAAGGTCATTTATATATAGCGATATCCACTTAACCACTTTATTTATTTAAACTTACATTCGATATTCTCTTAATATATTTTTGATTAATTTTTCTGGTCCTTGTAAGAACAGTGGTAACATACCAACAAGAAACCATCCAGTTGGCCCAGGTATTCGATTCGCTAATATTCTATTCTTTCTGCCTTTAAGTATTAATATCACTATAGTTATTACCAGTATAGAAGAAAGCATCGTAAAAGTTATATACTCCATATTTTATCGATATTCAACCTGCAAACACATTTTAATTTTTTTTTAATTATATTTTAATTGTAATAATTTATAATATCATATATTTTCATCTATGAGTTTTAGTTTAGATACCTTCAAAAATACAGTTAATACATTTTAAAATATAAATTTGTATCAAATAATTATAATGTCTTAAAAATATCATATTATTTTAAAACACCTAAATAACAATTAGATGTGTATGTTCTGCGTAACTATTAAATTTGTTACGTTTTTTTTTTATTATTAAAATAGAAAATGTACAATTCGTAGCAAAATTTGTACTATAAGCAAATAGGATAAATATGATGGAGAATATTTACATGATAATATATTATTATGAGGAGGTAGGGTGTCCAGTGACAGAACCCTAAGCGGTATTTTGGTTAGGGATTTAGTAAATAAAATAACGTTGTCTAATAAAATATTATATTATTTACTATGATATGGATATTCCAATTTTTTAATTAAGTTATGTATGGTTAGGCAAAAACAGGCTGTAAATAAATTAAGCTGCCTAATAAGTTAGTTTAAGAGGCCTTCGCACCCTCATATTATGTTGTCTCCGTCTTACACACGTAAATTAACGTCAAATTTTCGTTCACCAGTTTCAATATAATATTATAATGTGCGGTTAGTTTTGATATTAGAGTGAATTGACCTATTATCAAACTTTTAGGTAAGAATATTATCTGTGTTCTTTCGTTATTTTTTCACGAGATTTTAATTTCTAAGTGAGTTATGAGTATAAAATATTAATATTTGAAAATACTCATAGTAAAATATTCACTGAAAAATTAAAATATTGTAAAAAACCAACGAGAGAACGTAGATAATGTTCTTACCTTAAAGTTTGATAATAGGTCAATTCACTCCAATATCAAAGCTAACAGCACACTATTGAAACTGGTGAACGAACATTTGCTTTAACGTATATACGTGTGTAAGACGGAGACAATACATATTATATGGTGCGACGTCTTTTTAATAAATCAATGTGTGAACTAGAGATTAACTAGGTAATACATTTGCATGTTCTTTTAGTTACTTATTGAAGAAATTAAGTTTGGTTAAATTGTGTTTTACACTCACGCATAATACAACGCATATACTCTTATATACGCATTTCTAGTACTTACATATAAACATATTATTACCAATTTACAAACGTCTCGACGAATAAGAATGGTTAACTAAAAATTATAACAAAATTAAACGGAGACGTAAATACTAATAAAACTTAAAAGCTCCAATGAACTATATATTCTGATATCTGGACACTTGAAGAGTTCTGCTTGAATATTGTACCGTAGCAACTAGTATGACAGTATATTATAGTAATAGAAAAGAAACTCGTCGTTTAGATAGGCTATAACAAAAATTATAATAACCTACTTGGGTAACTCATGATTTTGCTTCTGTTGCTAATTTTTGTCTTTTTTTGACGATATGTTTGTATGTCTGAGTGACCTATTAACATATCATATATTTCAACAGTTAAAACATTATATTATTATATTACTGTGTCAGCATTGTTCACTTAATTTACCAAATATCGAACTATTAAACATATAATGATGCTTGTCACTTGAGGACCTGCTTCAAAAAATCTTATTAAAATTTAACAAAAACAGTAATATTTAAAATTAAAATTAAATATTTTTAAAATTAATATCTATGCCTCCTGTTTTATCAGAAACACGACACTACCAAACAGATTCCAGATTTCTATCATAAAAAATTATGGAATAATTTTCAAGTATTAACTGTACTTGAATTATACCAAATAAAACTAGCATAATATTATAATGATAAATTATCATTTATCATCTATCGACTATCTTAACCTCCTCAACCCGAGGACAGGCCTTATATTTTTGGCTACCTAAAAAAAATTTAACTTAAGCAGTCCCTATTTCATAGTTAATTTTTTAGGGGGAGGAGGGTATAAAAAAATAAATATTAAAACAAATATGATAAAACAGTACAACCAGTAAAATTGTATAACCGATATTATATCACTATCATAAATTCAAATAAAATATTAAATAAATACATTTTACATTGAAAAAATACAAATACAATATTCAAAAAATATATCAAAATATTTATTATTAAAAACAGTATTATATTATTTGTTCATATTTAAAAAATTTAGATAGTTTTTTAAAGTTTTTAAACAAATTATGTTTTTCATAGACATTAAATACATTGGATCTTTACATCAACACTTTTTACAATGTTTTACCTAATAATAACTTAAATCTCTTAGCTTAACTTAACTTTAATTTATTCAACTTAATCGTGTCTTGTTATATTATATGGATATAGGTACCTCCGTCGAGGTGATATCGCTGCACAATAACATTGAGCGCGTCAAAGTGGTCGTCAAACGTTACGAATCTGGCCTGGTGTGGACGGACGCACGCAGCGGCGGCGTCAACTGGATGACGCTACAACCGGACGTCGTGGTCAATCGGTTCCCGAGGGACGGGAATGTGGCATTGAAGTTGTGTGGCCACGCTCTGGCTGGACAATCCGAGTTCGACAACCACTACCCGAGGGCGTACGCGGCGTGCACTGAAGGGATTCATGCAGAGAGCTTCGTCGCGGACTACTCGCTAACCGCTTGCGTGTCGTTACTGCGGGCATTCGTGGACGGTGGTCATCACACTATGTGCGCCAAAAACGGTCAGGTGAGCATATCAGCAAAATTGTTTATTTTCGTAATAGCTAAGGTTCACAGCTTTAGATATACTGATAACCGAAATTATTATTAATCGTTACACGTTAAAAATGAATTCCTATTCAAAGTTTAACTATTTTATTTTTGATTGACCGTTTTATATCGATGTTGTTTATTTTGACGATTTGGTTAATATAGTTCATCAATTTTCAGATAATATATTTTTCAAGCATTATTCGTTTTTATTCCATATTATTGTTTGCTGGGTTAGCCCAAAATCTATCCCACACTATTGTGTCATTTAGTCATTTAGAACACGGACTTTTTATAATCTATTGACTATTAATATAATTATTTATATTATGTTGATGGCCGTTCAGTCTTAAAACATATTGCATTGTAACAAATTTTTAGTTTTCCAGTCATTTAAAGGTATTAGAGCACAATACTAAAAGTACAATTTGTACTAAAAATTCCATAACATAACCGTCGTTTAAAAACTGTTTTAAATTTCTTAATAATTTAATAGACAAAATAATATATAGACTCTATTATATATATTTTTTCTTTTAAAAAAATGGTTGTTTCAATTAAAAATAATATTATTTTTTTGTAACAAATTTATAAAAATAAAGATTTGTTTTTAAAAAAAAAATTATTAGATGAATTATATTTTGATATCGCTCAAAAATGAACAAAAATATGTGACCCACTGATTGGATATTGGTAATTTGTATTTTCTAATAAATATTTGTAGGTTGGTGGGTTCTCGGAATTTTCTTCAACAATACATATTTATTTAAGGATAGCCACCACTGGAAATTGTATTTCAGATTCTTTGCGGAGCGATGGAATGTATAAATGTATTGTATTTACTATGATGTGTGTTTTGTTTCTGTCTGCTGTCGACATTTTTACATTTTCTATATCAATTTTTTATCCGTTATTTATTTGATACCCTTTGACAATTTAATTTTTCTATTTAATGATATCGCAGGTTCCTCTTTCGGCACTTAACTTCGCCGCGATTAAATGTCACCAATACCTAACGGACGGCAGTTCGCTAAGGGCTGCTTCGTTTCCGGGGAAGGGCGATGCTTGGGAAAAGTTTTTCGAACATTACTACAAAATCGTACACGACCGGCGGAAGTTCACAGTGCCGGTAGCGGCCGACGATGAAGAAGAGGCGCTGCGCTACCTGACGACGTTTAGTGGCCAGTTGGTTGACCAGCTGACAACGGCGAGGCCTCAGACGGCGATGGATGGTTACGAGAACGTGTGGATTGTTAAGTCTACTGTGGCCCTGCAGTGCGGCCGGCCGGTGATGCTGAAGAAGATCAGCGATGTCCTTGACTGTTGCGCCCGCGTAGTTGGTGCCCACCACATCGTTCAGAAGTATATCGAGACGCCACTGCTGTGCGATAACGTCAAGTCAGACGTCCACACTTGGATCGTGCTCTCGACTCTCGACGGTCGGCTGACGGTGTGGCTGCACCGGACGTGCGCTGTGCAACCGTACACTCACGGGTTCGCACTGCACCAGGGCGCCAACAAGGACGGCCATTTCCAACGGGTCAAGTCAGGTGGACTGCACGGAATGCTGCGACCGACGGCACTGACTTGCGGCCTCGATCAGCTCGTCGAGACCATACGGCATGGCAAGAAAACGGGTAAACAGCAGAAGAAACGGCGGCATCAGCAGCAGCAACAGCTGGCGGCGAACGACGACGGTGAAGAAGACGACGACGACGATTTTTACTCGGCGGTCAAGCGGTCCGTGGGGTCGGCAATGGCCACGGCCGCGACGGCGGGCTCGCTTGACCTGAGACCCAATTGCTTGGAACTATTTCGCGGCACGTTCGTCCTGGGCGACGATACGCGGCCGTGGCTGATCGACATCGTGTCGGACGATCCATGCCTGGACACTGACTGTAGCAGGAAACGTGACCGGATGACGCCGGTGGCCATCGTAGCGCGGAGCGTGGCGCGCGGCGTGGCCAAGATGTTGGTGGACAGTGGTCGCGGTCAGGCCACCCGGATAGGCATGTTTGACATGGTGCACGAGTGTTCGATGCCGGCCTGCGCTGTTGCGTACGTGCCACGACCATTCGCCGAGTCCGCGGCCACGTCCGCCGCGTACAAGTTGCTGGCCAGGAGGACCGATCGACCGCTCGGCCACGTGCCCAAAAACGCTTCCCGCAGTCACGCCCGTCAGCATCACCACTGGTGGGACGACAATTCCATCAGCACGTACGTGCAGACGGTCAGTGCCGACGACGTGCAGGATAAACCGCTGAGGCCCTCTCCGGCGGCCGGTGTGAAGGTGGCAGCGGCCGTGTCAGCAGACGATGCGGAGCTGTGCTCAGCAGACGATGTGGAGTTTGAGTCGTCTGAAAATCACAACCATTGCGGCCCACCCAAACCTTGTCGGTGCTCGAAGCTGTTCAAAAAGTGCAAGACAAAAATCACGTCCGCGAGAAAAATTTGTAAGTCCATCATACGCCGAGACCGCAAAAACAACGGTCGGACCGCGTGACGAAACTCAGCTTTTGCAGAAGGCGATCATTAAATGAGTATGATTATTATTATTACTATAATGTGGCCTCGGCAGAACGTTGGACAATCCATTATTTTGAAAAGTTTTAAATTCATTGAAAGTATTGTTTTTTTTTTGTGAAAAAACGTTAGGTAATGTGCGGGCTGCAAATGTCATGATTTTTGGATCGTTTGCATCGTCTACTGCCCCACTTGCTGCAGACAGTTAGTATCAAGAACCAAGAGCACGATCAATTAAGATTAACACGCACATTATAGAAATGTTAAATGCAATTTATTAACAAAGCTTGTAAAAGAACTTTGATGTATTTAAAGTTTAACCCAATATGAATGTTTTAATAAAATTTCTTTACAGTTTACCTACTTCAGTACAGTGGCGGATTTGAAGGGGGGGTGACGTGGCGATTACCCCCCTAGGGTTTTTTTTTTTTTACTTGAATTATAGCACCGTATGATATAATGACTATGAAATTCATAAGTCATAACTATAACTTCAAACTTAATAAATGATACAAAAAAGGTATTTTTTTTAATATCTTATCAATTATATTGTTATTTGATTATCAATACAAATTATCGAATTTAAATAACAAGATTATGTTAAAAACAAATTTGAAATTGGTTATAGATAATAAAAAAATATTTTCTTGGTTATAACCAAAATTGCTGTAGACAACTAGCTACGGTTATAGTTTTTAGTTTTAGGTTATAGATAGAATGACAGATGAAATCATTTTACCGCCATGCAGTGCTGTAGCGTGCTGCACCACCGTAAAATCTGTTGGGGAACGGAAAAAAGTATCGGGAAAAGTCTTAAGGAAAAATAGTCTCGGGGCAAAAAACTTTCATAAAACTTTAAAATAATTTTTAAAAGTTACAGCGATAACAATTTATACAACTAGGATTTTTAAAAATATGTAATTTTTTTTTTTTTGTATAAATGTTCCTCACAAGTCATCTAATTTAGTGTTATTTAAATGAATAATATTTTAATAATATTATTGACTAAGATTGAATGAGATATTTTTTTTTATAATTTTATAATTATTAGTTATTATTTTTGTTTTATCTGTTTTGTATTTACCGTATTTTTTTTTGTGTTTAGTAGTTACCTATTATATGATTACATAATTATTAGATTTATTATCTTTAGAAAACAGACTTTTTGTCCCCCTAGACTTTTTTCCTTGACTTTTTCCCCGAGACTTTTTTCCTACCATCAAATCTGTTATCACTTCATTCTTATAAAATAAATTAAATATTTTGTTCACTGTGACTGTGGTAAATAACTCAATTTTAATATTGAGTGCTGAATACTTTATTTTCATTGTTCATTGACAGATTTGCGGTTGGTAAAAAAAGAACCATACAATTGTTGCTCGAATAAATTATTAATACATTTGTTTATTTAATATTGAATAAAAGACCGTTGAATTTTTGTACGGTTTAATTTTTTTTATATATATATATATATAACAGATGTTTATTGACTAATATGCGTATATATTGAAATTCTATGATACCAATTCGCCCCCTCCTTAAATGAGCTTCAGATCCGCTACTGCTTCAATATTTACTCGTAGGTCGGACATCCGTTGGTGATAAACATTATTCGAGCTTTGTTGTTTCAACAAATAATATATTACAATTGTCAATTTATATGTATTATAATTTACACGAGAAATCGATATGACAATTTTATTGTACGTAACATAAAAATCAGTGGTTGTTTTCTTCATTGGCCTATTATTCGGTTGAAATATACCTCGTAAATAAAAATATACTCATGAATACGAGAAATAAGAAACAACATTTTACTATTTTTGACAAACGTGAAAAAATATATATGAATAATATAATAATTTTACAATAAAGATTATAATAATCATAAACTAATAAAAGGTTTTAAATTTAGAAAAAAAAACAAGACATGAATCATAACAAAATATAAGAATAATAAATTATAATAAATGGCTTGCTGCAGCGTGGTGGTTGCATTCTATCATGAAACGTGTTCTGAGTGCAAGCACCAGTTGGTGTATAACTAACTCTGGGATGTGTGACCACTGACCACTCGGGTTTTTAGTGACCCTTTTTGCCACACATACACACACGTGTACTTATCCATCCGTACCCCACTCCACAAACAGATAATGGTCAGTTGCCGGGCTTAAAGACCAATAATAAAAAACAGTTTAAAAAAAGATATTATATTAATCATGAATAATATGAATTTAATATAATATATAAAATATTAAAATAATTTCATTGTTAAACGCCGTGGTTAAAAATGGGTTTCCGCTCAGTGCGGCTCGGTTATATTTTTGATATCAAATAAAATAAATAATAAATGAAATATGCGTTTGTACAAACCAACGTTCGTATACGGTGTACGAAATTCTCGTTTACTCGGTGAAGCGTATAACATGACGACGTGTAATTTTTTTTCAACTGTTTATTACTGCTGTTTTTATTGATTTTTAAATTTTTTATTCTAACATTTTTGAAATAGTCTATATTTACTTAAATATGTATAATTATTTATTTATCTCAATTGATATTAAATAAATCGACATTGACTCAATTAACTCAATTTATTAAGGGGTATCAATAGTATGGAAAAATGCTATGAAAATTAATTTTTGTATTTCCAAGAGTATGGTTTGTTGAGCGGTCTGAGAGTAAAAACACCTATGATCAATGCTGTAGAATAGAAGTTAATCTGTGTCTGTTAAAAAGTAAATGTTTGATAATTTAATAAAATTACTTATCTCAATAATTCAAATTCAAAAAGTAAAATATCACAAGTTTTAGAGGTAAATATTGGACATTGAAAATAAAATATCGAAAATCAACTCATTTACAGTCCTAACTAAACTTCTTATCTTCAATTTGTATAATGAGTGTTCATACTATAATGTCACTCAGTAAGCTATATTATTGGAAATACGAAACTTAGTTTCAGTGTTTCACTAAAATTTACATTTGTAATATTATTGTGTAAACTGTAAAGTGCTGCGTTATTGGCAGTACGTGCAGTGGTGTAACTTGATAATAAGGGACCAATCTGAAAATTTCAAGACTCTGGGACACTGGGGCTCTTACCTGCTAATAATAATGAAAAACCTTATCATAAGTTGGTGCAGATTATGGCAAAAAATACCTTGGTCCGTAAGTATCCTTATTGTATAAGATACTTCACACTGAAGAAATGATTAATTTTTAGTTTACATGACATGTAATCAACAAATTCATTTAAATAATGTTTTTTCAGCACCATATTATATTACGATCAGACATCATGGTTCAAACAACTTACTCAAACTTCCTGGTTGTCAATAATCTTTGAAATTAAGTGAAAATCAGTCTTGTAAGTAATTGTTGAGTCTATAGACTATGACAACAAACACAAATAAATTAAATTATGTCGTATTAGTATTTTCGTTGTTCACTCATTGTCCTATTTATTATTAGCTAAAATGCAAAACTGTAAAAATACGTTGTATATCTTACACTTTTATATTAAAATATATCGTTAAGAAATTAATATATATTATTTTTTTTATTAGAAGTATAGTGTATTGACAAACGATGAAACTTCGGTAATATTGCATAACATTAAGAAATTAACTACTTAGTTGTCAAATATATTACTGAGAACGCTCGACTGTAATATTATTTAGTATTTACATAAACAATATGTTTTGAGGTCACCTAATTATAACCGTTATATTTTAATATTTATAACTATTATAGGGGTAGTCAAATCTATTAAGAATAATAGCCCACCTCAATATATTTTTTTTTCATTTCTCTTCAAATATTATAAATACCTAACCTCATATACAGAATGTAACAAGAAGACCTGACAGATGAAATAACTTTTGTTCTAATCGATATTTAATTTTTTTTTTATATATAATTTATAGTAACTTGTGCTACACGTATAATATAAAAACAATTATTTTTATTTTTTATTAAAATTTTTTTGGATAAATTCAAGATAGCTAATTTGTGAATCTGATTATAAGAACAATTTTGATAGTGAAACATGTATCTAAATCAAGTAGCTTATTTTTTAGATTTTTTAAAATATCAATATTTTTTTAATTCAATTAATTTGAAAGGTGATAACTTTTTTTAAAATATTATTTTTGGGAATTTGCTGACATGAGTATATTTCTTAAATTATTTACTAATCGTATAATTTTAACAATTTTTGTTAAACTTTTTAATAGGTAGCATAATTTTTTTTTTGTCATTTTACATGATTTTGGTGCCCTGGGTACACATTTTTTTTAATGCAGATGCATGTAATTTACGCCGAATGTATTTTTTATTAGCAATTTCTATTTTTCTTGAATAATATTAATTTTTTTGCACTAAAATTGTTCTACCAGAACACTATCTAATTAGTACATAATATTACAACATTACGCTTATTAGTTACCTTCAATATGACTAGTGCCTAAAAAAAATTGGTGATTATTGCATATATTAAGGTCTAGGCGGTCTAGCAGAATCTATTGATGAATCGTCTCAACTGTACATGCAACCCTCTTATAATAGCGTTTAATATAATATAGTCTACGAACAATATTAAAAGCCGCAGCATCGCATAATTATATCTACACCGCTATCAAATATACTTAGTAATATCGTAGGCTGACTGACCGTCTTCGCTCAGAATCATTTTTCTTTTACAATTATATAAATGATATCATTGAATTCAAATTTAACACCATCCTTTACAGTGACCCACTATTGTAACCTATTGTACAAGAGACCACGCTGTAGACCCCACTTGCTCAACTTTTTTTCGATTGATGTTTTAAGTTTATTCTAAATCAATCCATACTTTAATACTAGGTATAATTAAATAAAACTACAACGCTATAATTGAATTTATATTTTATTATTTTTAGTTTACAAGTAACACAAATTATTACAAATAATTATGAAACACGCACACTTCGCATATAAAACTCACTAGAATATACTCGTAAATACTAACTAATAGTTTAATAGACCATTTCATATTTTCATATACTAACTTAGCTAGTTGGTGTTATGGCTAGTCGCTCATTTATCTACTTCCTTCATGATATTTTTTACTAACGAAACTTTGTCGTGTACCTATACACTTATCACTGGTCGTTCACACCATATACTTCTATACTACCTATTATTCTATGATACTACACTAGATAAGGTATTCCTATATAGTTTACTTTGTTACAATTTTAGCTCAGCTGTGAACGGCCGCCATTTTGTCAAATTAAAACATTTCATTCATTATACAAAATGCATCAAGAATAACATCGTTTTCAATGGTAAAATAAAATAGTAAATGTAAAATAATTTATGTAAAATATTTATTATTTTTAATAACAACAGTTTTCGAAATAATAAAATACAATACAAGATAAATCATAATTAATCTCATTGCCTTATAAAATACCATACAACCGCCAACCGAACTTGAAGCTTCAATTCGTGGTGGGATTTCGCTATCTAGTACTATATAGAAATCTGTGGTGAACACACTGACATGAATTGAACAACATTCTCCAACTAAACTGGGGATTGACGTCATTAACCGGGGAATGTCTACATTTACAACATTTACCAAGTTTACATAATTCACCGTAACATACTAACATATAGATATATGTATCTATGTATGTATATACATGCGAGTGCATGTGTGTGTGTGCAATGTGCACGAGTGTGTAATTTTTACAAAATATTCAGGAACATAAATTAAATTATCGTCGGGTCTAAGCGGAAGTGACAGTCATGAAAATTTAATCGCAATATCGCAGACACAATAATAATAATGTAATCGTTTATTATAATTTAACTACCTATAATATATTATGTTTGCCGTATAATTGCGTGGCCTGAAACCAGAGTATAGCATAAATATTAGACTTGTACTTGCACCTCATGACTATATAATATATTATGTATTTATGTTATGCACGGTTTATACCGGTGTAAACATTTTTTAATATTGCATAAAATGTATTGTTAAATATCGTTACGCACTCATGAGTTATGCTACTTTAGATAGCAAAAAGTTGGACTGTTACTTTATTTTTTGGCGAAATTCGAGGATTAAATATCAATTTATATAATAGTAATAATTGATTCGACTGCTGTAAATTGTAAAATATATTAATTTTAAGGCCATATTATAATGTTTTCACTTGATTCATAATTATATCTTCATTCATCTTATTTTTTTTAGATACTTATTTCTTAGTTTTTCCTGTCAATTTGCATGTCATCCCTAAATGCATGCTTTTTTTATTTTGCATAAGCTAATAATTGTGAATGGCTACCACAGAATATTCCAACCTGTCATCGATTTATATTTGTTACTTATTTATCCTATCCGACTATCCGAGTTTGGTTGTAACGTCAACTGCCATTATCCTAGCCACCACAATAATAATATTATATCAGTTGAAAATAGCTAAATGATAATCAAATGTTTTTCATTACATTATTATCCTAAATTTTTTTTTTCAAACAATTTTTGTTATAGAGTATAAACATTTATTCATCTATAAAATTATTTTGAAATAATAATAACAATTTTTTTCTACTAAATAAAAATATATTGATGATTAATAATAATTAGCATAATAACTATTTTTCATGAAAAAAATTGTAAAATAAATGCCAATAAGTACCTAATCAATCGTATTTTAGGGGGACGGAGTTCCCGAGCGGTCTAACGCGTCGGTTGAGACGCAGCAGTCGCCGGATCGATTCCCGGCCACGGGCGGCATTTTTCTTCGGGCAAGTCATGGTGTCCGGAGAACAAGTGCCGCCATCCCCCACCCGGGTATGGCAGATACCTACTGGTGCTCAAATCGAAAATTCGGCCAAAACACTCACGTATTAACAAACCTATAGTACCCCCTACAGTACCACAGGCTAATGACCTAAGTTGTCGAAGCCTTAACCCTAATAAAAAAAAAAAAAATCGTATTCTAATATATTATTTTAAATAAATGTAAAGGTACATTTTAAAAATACATATTTGACAGTTCATTATACATCAACTCAATCGAGGAATATTTTTTTAGTTTAGTTTAGTCACTATTATAAAAATAAAGGAATTTTTTTCAAATTAAAAATATTTTTAATGCATTATTGTAGTGCTTAATAAGTTATTTTTTATGGCACTGGAGTGAGCTCTCAACATATAACTAATAATTCAAATTGAATGCAGAAATAGCGGCGGAGATGGCGATGGCCGATGAGTAACAGACATAGACGCATATAGTTGTCGCTGCAGATGCTTTTTTGTATTTATTTGTACAATATATTTATATAGGCAATAGGCGTTGTCACTATTATAGGAACGATATCGTTTTTAATCTGATTTTGAAATTCAAAGCGTGTAATCGTCTTTTCCGAGCATAATGACATGTAAATTTCGGCAACGTAGATCACAACAACGGGCCCACACCATAAGCTTCGTCATACGATCTTCGCTTCCCTATCCTATAGTCATCGTTACCGCTTACGATTATACTACCAATACTCGTCACTTTGTATTATATTTCATTGATGCGAAGTCGGAATACAATATACAATTTGTAAATTGTTGTTCTTGTGTCGAATTCGAATCGGGATCCATACGATCGTACAAGAGAGATTGAACAAAAATCGCAGTCATGAGATACGTAAGAAAGATGATTCGTTCTTTTAAATTATTATTTGTACGCTATACTGCTGTCTTAGAACGGCCGCAGATTAATGAGTATTATTATATGGTTATTTTTTTTACGTTTATGAGGACGTCACACACATCCACTTGTGGGGTTTTTATATTATAACAAACATAGGCACCTACGATTTGTAAAGCCGTACTTGGAAATTTTGGGGCCCAGGTCTATTTTTATGGTGGGCCCTTAACTTACAATTTTTTTTGGTATTTCGTTTTTTTATATTCAATTTATATTTTAAGATTATAAATAATATACCACAAGTGTATACCTAAGTAATTTAATTTTTTAATTTTGATCGATATAAATAAATCGTATATAACTGTACGTATTACAGTAATATATGGGGGGCCTTAATTTTGTCAGGGCCTGCGTCTAAAGCCCTCCTTTAGTAGGGCTCTCACAATTTGTCAAGTTTGCGTTGAGAACAGCTTTAGTGTTGTTAGCTTTAATATCAAAGTGAATAATTATCGACGTATTATTGAACTTATAGGAGAAAATAATATTATCTAGATTCTAGGACAACTCGTAGGTTTTTATTTACGTTTTAATTTTGAAGTGCAAAGTTATTAGGTACTATGTAATATATTACAATTTACAATTATTGTAAAATGGTCATCATAACTCTCTTTAAGATTAAAATATCAATAAAACATTTGAGGTGTCCTAGGTAATATTCTTTCCTTCTACGATAATGACGTAATAGTAGGTATATTGTGTGGCTAGGGCGAGAAATGAGCTGTCAGTCGCGGGTGATCGAGTCGTGGGGAGATCCGCTAAGACCGAAATTGCCTTCCTGCACGAAGCAACACATACCGTTTTTTGTCAGGCTTTTACATTCATCGACCAGTGTCTGGTTGTGCAGGGGATATGTCCAGCACTTTTGGGAATTTACAATTTACCACCCCACACTATATAGGCATTTCCAATTTAGCGCCCTTTGGACGGAAAAAGGTCGCTTTCCAATGCTTCAACCGTCATCGTAAGCTAAACTTTCTGTGCACGCATGACAAAAACAACATTTAAACGAACTATTTAGGTTTAAAATCACAAAACTATTGATTTTCTTAAAACCCTTAGTATCAAAATTATGTCATAATATTGGTATTATATATAATTAAAATGTAATTTAGAAAAATATTAATTTAAATGAGTTACCTGCCCTTTACTACTAAAGTAAATCAAAGTTAAGTAAAGTACAGATACCAATTATAAAAGTTTAAAACCGGTCCACTGCTTCTAGGCATAATATTTTGTACTTTGATTGTAATGAGAAAGTGGCTCATTCTAAATAAACTCAATATTTGTATCAACATTCAACATAGATACATATTATGTGAAAGTTAATTTTCATCAGAGAATTATTTCAAATGAAAACCTTGGAATAATACATTGTTGGGTGGTGAAGCTAATGCTGTTTGTGGTTTATTAAAACATTTAAGACTAGTAAAATACGTAACTGATGTTAAAAAGTGTTATTGAATTTTTTTAAATGCCCATCACCCTCAGAAAAAAATGTTCATGGGTAGGTACTTATAAGTTATAAATGGTATTAACACATGTATTTTTTTTAAATCTTTGATCACAACACAGGCACGTGACCAGAAAAAGGTTGGCCACCCTTGATTTATACAATATACGTAGTACTGTAGTAGCCAGTTGTAGCCTTGTAGGTATAACTAAATCTCGTATAATATGATATATATATCATTTATTAATAAGGATCATAAATATACGCAACTAGGAACAACATTTTTTTGGAGAGGAGGACTGAGTTTATTCCATCATACTACAACATCCACGTAAAGGACATACACCCCCTCCCCCAAACAGTGATTTTTTTTTTGGAGGATGAAATGCTTAGGCTTTACAATCCCCCACATAATTGAGACTATAGTTGGAGGATATTTATTTATATATATTTTAATATTTTCTGCTTTCTGCAAACTCCAATTATACCTATATATAGATACGTGCGCATGTGTTATACGCGTACAATGCATATAATAATATTATTACAAACGAATGCAGCCGATCAAAACAATAATGGAACATGTATTTTAATGAAAAAAGAAATGTTTTTGGACCGCGTTTACAAGTGCTGTCTAATTAGCATATAACATGGTAAATGCGTTACACGGTCGGACCGGCGTGTTATAAGAACGCGTAGCGAGGGCGGAACGATTAATAATACCGTCGTGATCAAAAGCGTTTGTCACACTCGCATACACACAAACACATACCTACACGCGTGCACACGCGTGTTATCATGATATATACGTGATTCAATCGTGATTAATAACCACCGAGACCGTTTGCAGAGGCTGATCTACACGTTGCTGGCCACCGCGCAGGAGCTTCTGTTCGGCAAGAAATTGTTTTTTGACTGGCAGTTCGGCGACAACTGGGCGCTGAAGAGCATGGATATTTTGGACAGAGACTTGGCGGCCGCCGAAAATGATCGGAAAGACGGCGGCAGCCCGGGGACAAAGGACCAGCCGGAGTACGTGTACCGCCGGCAGATCGTCTGGTTCAACACCATCGGGTTCCTCGTGCTCCACTTGGGAGCCTTGTACGGCATGTACTTGTTCTTGACATCTTCGATGGTACTCACTATGCTGTGGAGTAAGTATAATAACTGATTAGTACTTGCAGTGCCTATAGCATGATATTATATTAGTAAAGACTCTAAGTCCGACGACGACGAGGTGATCTACATACTTAAAATTGGCCACACTCTGAACCAGGAAGATAAATATTTTCCCTATCCACTTTTGATTTGAGTGATTTTGTAGGTTTTTTAAAAAACCCCTTTGGCAATCTATTTTTCTTATTTGGGTATAATTTCATATAATTTGGAGCAGAATGCATACCACAAAGGTACTGAAAAATACCTTTCTTTTAAAAATTGTATTAATAAGTAGGTATATTTTCAGTTTAGATTAACTGAGTTAAATTTGGCTAGTTGTGAATACCCCGTAAAAGTTGTGCTCATCTAAACATTAAAGTTTAAACGTCCATGCTTTAAATAAAAAAACCCTTTATTAATATAATAATTATATGCAATATTTGTTCATCAATATGCTTAAAAAAAATATAGTCCGATTATTAGTATTATTTTTTTGATTGGTTTAATCATATTTTGATAATTTATAATGACAAATGAACAAATATTTAAAAAAAAAACGTTAATTTTTCGAAATAGGTAATGAATGTTTTACGTTAAAAGATTCACTCAGTGTGAGTAATAAGTATTGAGAATTTCATTAAAATGTTTTGGTATACTTAGCAATGCTGGTAGCGGGCGCAAGTGCGTTTTCCGTCACCATGGGCGCTCACAGATTATACACTCACAGGACTTTCAAATGTAACGATTGGGTAAAAGCTCTGCTGGTTTTCGGGCAGACGGTCGCGGGACAGGTGAGCCTATATAATATTTTTACAGTTCAATCATTTTCTGGTTCAATATTTTTCTGGCGGAAAACTTTCGGACTTTTCGTGCTTGTTATAATTTTTCTAAACGTGTTCTGTCGTTGTCCCTCAGAACTGCTTGTACGTTTGGATCAGAGACCATCGGCAGCATCACAAGTACAGCGACACGGTGGCCGACCCGCACAACGCGTCACGGGGATTCTTCTTCTCGCACATCGGATGGTTGATGGTGCGCAAACATCCGGAAGTCATTGAAAAAGGCAAGAAGATCGACATGACCGACATAGAAATGGATCCGTACGCCATGTTTCAAAAAAAGTAAGTCGTATCTCGCCGATTATGATACTTCCGTGTCTCACGTACGGGCGTGGTTCGATTAAAATGGCACCAATACAATAATAATATCGGCAGTCGTCGCTTTTTCTGCACACATAATATTCACATTCACTGCAGAGTGAAACAAAAATTGGACTTGACGCGATTTTTACCTCACCCTTTGAGGAGGTATATCTTACAATCCAATCCGTGTCAAGTTGACATAAAGTTGTGCGAATAGTCGTGCAATTTTGGGAGAAAAAAGTCACTCATATGGTGCCTTTAAATCGAACGTACACGATTGATTGTACGTGCACACCTACCTATATGATCGTAATACCTTTGCCGCACACAGATATTACAAAATACTGTTCACGATCTTGGCCATGCTGATGCCGATGGTCGTGCCTTTCGTCTTCTGGGGGGAAACCCTGTGGAATGGTTTCTTCGTGTGCTTCCTGTTTCGGCTGATGACTGTCCTGAACTTGACCTGGTTGGTCAACAGTGCTGCGCATTTGTATGGCAACAAACCATTTACCAAGTGAGTAGATAAATTTATATGACAATCTACCCGTTTCCTATTTAAGTTTAGTGTAGCATGAATTACATTTTTTTTTTTTTGTATGATAGTATATAAATAGTGCCCCGATCAAACTTTAAGTCAAGAATATTACCTATCTGTGTTTGTACATTGGATTATTTCGATATTTTAATTTTTCTGCAAATATGATACATTTTTAAATTGTAATATTTTACTAAAGTATTTCATAACTTGCTTAAAATTGAAATATTGTAAAAATATATATATATATATATATATATAAATATAATGAATACTCATTGCCATTAATATCTGACCACGGAGATCGGTTATTTAAAAATAAATGTTTCTATAAAATGTCTCCCTTTTGGGAAAAACATAAGATCATTAATATGCATTATGGCGGGCCATGACTTCTTAACTTCAAACAAACAATTATATTCATTTTAACCAATATATTTTTGATTCATGTCGAAACTCAACAATCTATAGAAACAGATTACACTTATTGAAAAGGATGAATGGGGACGAATTTCAACACCTATATTTATACTTTGCATTATATTATTATAATATGGTTCAAATTTCAAGTTTCTAGCAGTACTGTCAGTGAACCAATAATGGTTGCACTTTTTTCGTTATTCATTTTTTTTTTTACCCTAGACATAAGACACATTAATATTAAAAGTCGACGTACAAACACAGATAATTGTTCTAATATGTTTTGTAATAGGTGAATCTTTTTGTAAGACTGATTCAACACACGCGTGGGTCCTATTAAACCTATTTGAAAAAAAAAAAAAACAGCTAGTGTACAAGTTCCTTAAACTTATCGATATAATATCATATTGATACCGATCGCATCCTGTATGGTATACTACTCCACGCCGTGTATTGGCAGGTGTATCTCTATACGGGTTAGGTCGGATTATAACCAAATGTATGTTATTGTAATAATAATTTTATGCAAACGTTTACGTCGGTTCGTAGCGACATAATGCCCGTGGAGAACGTTTACGTGTCCATGTTCGGGCTGGGCGAGGGCTGGCACAACTATCACCACTCGTTCCCGTGGGACTATCGGGCCGCCGAGTTCGGGCAGTACTTCAATTTGACGACGATGCTGATCGACTTTTTCGAAGAGATGGGCTGGGTGTGGGACAAGAAGTACGCGACACCGGCCATGGTCCGGAGCCGGGTGACCAAACGCGGGGACGGCACGCACTGCAAGTACGCCCGGCCGCAGTTGAAGGAAGCCGGCGCCGAGTCCTCGGAGGCGGTGGAGGACGACGAGACTTACGAGGAGCTGTTCTGGCTGGAAGAACGGTCGGCGAAGACCGCCGAGCTCGTGGACGAGGCTCAGAAGGGCTAAACGTCACCTCGCCCTCGAAACACAAAATATATCACATAATAAATTATATTATACAAGTATATGCACTGTATAGTTATTACTTATTATTATTATTATACGTCACCAGAGTATATTTTTAAGAAATATTATTTTTCTTATACTTTATTTAAATTTTTATATGTCGACCGACGACGTGTGGCTCTCTCTCTTTTTTTCTCGCTCTTTGTACATAATATTTGCGTGGATCGACGATACCTTAAAATATGCATAACAGATATTATATAGGAATCACGAACATATTTTGTAATAATAATAATAATAATATATATGCAGTAGATACTCGAATTGTAAAAATAAAACTGGGACTTTTTGAAAAAAAATGTGTGTCCTCGAAATTATTGAACTCGACCTAACCTTATGGGGGGGGGAGAGGGGTGACACACGAATCCGCACAATACTCCTTTTTATCTACCCGATTCCCCACATTTTCGTAATACAAAAGATTTTTTTTATCTAACAGGAATGTAACACGATTCCGCTCGACGTTGTCAGTTATGATAAAAAAATATTAATAATAATAATAATAATAATATTTTATAAAACAAATAGTTAAAAATAAAGTATAGATAATTTTATATAATTTTAATTTTAAAACTATTGTTAAAGTAAAATTAATATAACAAAAAAATAATCAAAATGAGTCAAAATTATGTTGCAAGTACAGGAAAATGTATTTTTTCGTATTTCTATCTGATACAATGATATGAATTTCTGAATTGTTCATTTTAATTTATGAACTCACAAGGAATAAAATGTATAAGTCAACAGTAAAACACAAACATGTGATCTAAATATACGTATTAGTGATCGAACTGTAGGCAGCTGATGAGTTCAGATAAAAAGTACACACTACACAGTATACTATTTAGATAAACTAGAGTATTTGGGATAAAGCTAAAATAATGTTATAATATGTCTATATAATATATGTAATATTGATATTAACCTTTTTGATGTCTAAAATTATTTTCGCCCTAACTATCAATCAAATAACAAATATTTAAAATATATTTTATCATACCAGTAACAACTACTTCTATGAGCGATTAAAATAAATATTTCTGAACAATAATCATTTATCTATATTAAAAAAAAAAAAAAAAACATTAACTATTAAAATATTTGTAAAGGTATTGATTTATATTTTTTCGATTCAACTGCAGTAATGCAGTATCATAATAATAATAAATGTAATAATTCATTAAATTGAACTTGAATATCTTTATGCATTACAATTATATGACATCAAAATTACTAATAAATACATATCAAATAAATATTTTGTAAAAAACAACATAATACCACACACTAGTTTTGATACAAATAATAATATTAGTATAATATGTGCTCTTGAAATATAAAACAAACAGTGGAGGAGCTCTTAATAGTACTTAATATACGTGTAGGATACATCTCGATTTTATTCTATATATTATGAAATCTCGACTGCCGCTTATTTTCATGCTAAAAATTATAACAGCTAAACGCTTTAATATGGGTAATGGGTATGAATAATATGTTCTGCAGTCATTATCCGAAAGAGGCAATAATATAAACGTACCATAATATATCATAATGTTATAAAAATCGTTGTTGTTGTTGTTTAGAATCATAAAATATGTAAATCTTTCAATAGTAATATAGGTAGCCTTTTTTTTATGTATGTACATGTCTCTATAAGCGCTTATGTGTGTTCTTACTAGTGGGCGTACTTACCTACATTTTTCTTATGAGAACTACGTGCTCCGTATACTTTATAGTCAATAATCATTATACTTTTCTATTATTACTAGTATTGTTTGTTTTTCACCTATCGAATTAATATTAAATACGAGAATACGACCCAGCGCGTCTGGTAAAGGTTTTGAAAAAATGTCCGTTTAGGTTAATAATAATACAATATTTGATATTTTCTTCTTATACTACCTACCTATATAGGTATTATTATGTAAACACGGATTTACGACTTTGAATCGAAACTCTGTGACTGCAAGGAACATTCCAAATCAGAATATCATTTCCAATTAGATTTTTGCTGAATACGAGAACGAAGCTCTATACGTAATAATAATAATAATACGTTCTGTATTCAAAACATTCATCGTGATTAAATGATACATGGCTAACGATTCCTCCACTGATCAGGATCTCGATCGCGACCACTAAAATATGTATATTTATGCGTGTAAACAACGAACCCGTAAAGGTAATTCCGTTTCGTGTTCGATAATAATATGTAAAACCATATAATAATATGCTAATTTGTTGTTCGCGAGCTGCACTATAAGTACCTACTAGAAAATCACATCCTTTTTCAATTATAATATTATACACAGCGTGTATTAGATACCTATTATATGTACACGTAGCCGGCCCGGTCGCTTACTTTTTTAAAGTTTATTTGTTTAGTCAGTGACACTCGAGCCAATGTGCATATTAATACGTTTAAAATACAGTGTGAGCCCTGACAGTTTAGACTAGGTGGGGTGGAGCGCCTATGCAGTAGTGTACATGCCTATATTATAATCAGTGTCGAGCATAAAAACACTGAGACTAAACGATCATTAACATTTGTAATGATTATGTCTATACTTATATTATTTTAAGTTAATACATTTATATAAATAGGTAAGTGTATACGTTTATTGAATTGTAGATACTAAAACACTGTCGATGATTGTTGACAAAATAAAATAAAATATGAATACGGAAAAAAATCATAGGTTATACTATTATAATTTTTAGTCGTCAAATTCTTACTAAACACGTACGTTTTGCCAGCCCCCCCCCCCCAAAGGAAAAACTGTTAACAAACTATACAGATATTTAGCACGTAATTCGCACGAATTCGCACGCCCGGTTTGAAAATTCGCACGACCTTCCTTCCCCTAGAAAAACAAAAATTCATGGGGGGGGCTGGAAAGCATATAACTATCTCAATATTATGTGATATAATAATTATTTAAGAAAACTAAAGAATTCTATGAATTTGATTATTTGAACACTATATTATGTCATCTCATGCCCACTTAGATATTGTAAACTTACAATTCTTCACAGCAACACTCATAATAAACTGAAATGTTTTAGGAACCTTATGTTACCTCCATTCACCACTCACTTTAGAATCGTAACTATAAAGTTAACCCATTGAGGTTTCTTAAATTTTAATACAAATATGCTTATATAAAGTTAAAATACTTTTTTATAAAAATCATCTTACATTTGGAGATGAGAATTATTTCTGGTTTGATTTTACCAAAAATATTTATATGGTACTATTGTAATGAACGATACGAATAAAAAAAAAAATATATATATAATTCTTGATGTCAACTTGACCAGTTTGTGATGTAATAATAATAATAATAATAATGATATTTTAACGTTTCAAAAACTATACCTATATATAATCTTCATGACTTGTCGGCTTGAACTTGTGTTTCAAACAATTTGATTTATACATATAGGTATGTTCCGAAAACGGTGGTGACGAGGAGAACGAATTGTCATATTTATAGGTTATACCTGTCATGGTTATAGGTTGGGTGAGCCATCGAGTCGCTCGTGTTACAATAATATAATATTATCATTAATCATCGTTGTGCCAGAAAATTACACGATACCTATTATAAGCATTTACCCCGTTTCCGATTCCCAACGGTCGTGCATTACACTAATATACGATGGGTAAACGAGAATACAGCTTGTAAAACATTACAATAAAGTAATATTGCAATATTACGATTTGATGGATTATTAATTACCGGTCATTAGGTCCACGATATCCCGATGACGAACGTATTAATATACCCGGACCGCAGTCGTGGTTCACGGGTTCACCAGTCGCCGTGTTGGTCGATCGTTCGGCAGTTTCGCCGCAGTATTCAACAGGTATTATTATATTCAGGAAATTCTGGATTAAATCGCATAAAAAATTGTGTCATCTGTACTGATTTCCGGATTTTATAACGACAACAAAAAATGTGTCATCTGCAGTACTGTTTGTGATACGAGTATTGTCTGATATACGTATACAATATTATATGTTATACACTCGACGAACATAATAATATACAACTCGCGATTATGGAGTTATCGCTGCAGCTATTGTCGTTAATTGCATCGCTATTGTGTCACCGTGTCGTTTTGTCGTCGGCCCGACGGAATATCACTAGAAATGTAAGTATATATTGGGTACATTAACTATAGTAATAAAGCCAGGTCGACATCGAGTGACATAATCGATTTTTGGGAATGGCGAGAGGGTCGTAGTTTTTTACTTCATGGGGAAAAAATGAATGTATATCAATCCATATGCGTTTTAGACATTTTGAAGCCGACGAAATTGACATGATGGTATCATATAAAACATTAAATTTGTCTACTGCAGTGTTTTACTGTAGACTGGAATATTATGCTAATATATCTGCTGACTGCTGGACATTTCCTCCCCGACTGTTTTCGGTATAGTGAGACATTCCCCCCCCTATTTTTTTCTTAAAGTTTACTATTTCATAATATTAATTTTTCATTTAATATGAAATTATTTTTTTTGTCTATTGTCTAATATTTTGAAATATTTTCATAATACTATTTATTAAATAGAATAAATGATGGATGTATATTTTTGATCAACTGAACTACTTGAATCAAATTCAAAAGCATTTATTAAATTGTTAAATATCCAAAATGGTACAGTTTTAACAAAAAAAAAAATATTAAACAAGTTAAAAAATATGTGTTTAGAAATAACAAAAGAATCAGTAATCAAATGTTTTTTACTAAACGTATCATTTATATTTTGGAATTTATAGCCGTTTTTATTAATTATTAATTATATTTTATTTTATACTTATTTCTTTTTAAATTTTTATTGTTTCAAGTAGTTCAGTTGATCAGACGTATACATTTATAATCTATTATATTTATGAAAATAAAAAAATGTTAATATATTTTATATTTTATTTAAAAAAAATAATTTCATATTTAATAATAAATAATATTGTATCATTAAATTCAATATTATTAGTCAATAATAAACTTTTAAAAAAAATGGTGGGAAAATGTCCATTTACCATCTTCTGCAGCAGTCGTCATAAATATATATAGGTATTCCGTAAATCAGTTGCAAATATTTTTCTTACGATATGCATTCTTATATTTAGATTTATTTAGCGTAACCGATAGGTGTGTTGCAGGCGTGGATCTAGAAATTAAAAAAGGGGTGGCTGGACAAAAAAATGTACTTAAGGTGCATAAAAGCATGAGCATTAAGTTTAAGTTTTTATAGTGAATAAAATATTTATTATATATGCGTATAATAAGAGTTTATTTAATAATGACAACATTTAATAAACATAATACATTAAATTGACCAATTCTCTGTTTTTATTCTTGTAGATGATCTTGAAAATATATTAATCACTTCATCAATATAGGTATTTTTGTATGGATTTTAAAACAGCTAAGCGTTCAAACGCTTCTGACCCATCATGGTTGACCTCAAATATTTTTTTAGACATCTTAACGCTAATAATCATTCGAAAATAATATCGAATAGGGGTTTAATGATTAGATTGTGAAATATTATCTAGATTTATATATATTATGATAATAATTTTAAGATTCTGAGCAAATAGCGATTAATGTATTGTTTTTACAGGGATATTTTTTTATTTTTATGTCTGAAGACAATTTTTTAAGTAGAAAAAAATCCTCTGATTATGGACTTCGATGGAGGTTTCTTGAAAATAGTTTGATCTATGTAGTTAGTACTTTTGAGAGGTAAAAATTGAAAATACTAAATGCTTTTTCAAAATAGTAATCACGGTAAAAAAAATGAACGTCTGATGTTTAAATGTCAATGTATTCACGTGTCACGTCGTAAAATAACGGTGCCTATCTCATCCAACGATTTTCTTAATTTGTTATTACTGCGTTTTCATGTTCCTCAGTACCTACTTGTCTATAATATTTAGAAATAATTACCTTAAATATTTAATGTTTAATATTATACGACCAATGACCATGCTCGACAAGACAGCCCTATTATATAGTTATATACTTATATAGGTACCTACTATTAATATACATATTATTGAGCGGACGGACTGAAAACAAGTTTTATATCAGTTTTATTATGTACTATTATGTACTATTATTATTTATTACTATGTACAATGTATAGAGGTACCTCCGATATCGGATATCGTTATTCGTCAAATCATCGAATAAGAACGATCGCAGTGTGATTTTATCAGACATTCATAACGTTACATTACATACCTATACCAAATATTTTCGTCTGTATTTTGTTTCGTTTAATAAATTCTTTTAATTAGAAAAATGAAGTTTATGACAAGCAAAAGAGGGGAAAAAATGGTTGTAGAATGTAGACAAGGTCACAAGGGGCAAAATTATATTATATTGGCTGTATATTGTCTATTGACCATAGGCGGAAATTTTGCCATGATTTTAGAGGGGACTAATATTTAAAAAATACTTTACTGCATATCAAAGCCTTTCTTAGCACTTGAAAATATAATATTACAGACTACAGTAAACACCATCCAAAACTAAGCATGATTTATTTTAAACATACTATAAGTGTCAAACATTTACTCGTTCATATACTTGAATTTTAACTTTAAATATATAAGAAAGATAACATAAGTTATACAAATTTTAAAGAAAAACAAAATTATTAAATATTAATTTACAGTAACAACCTTGTTATCTAGTTATCAGGTATATTAAAATATTTATTTTAAAATAATATATCTATTTTTTTGCAAATGGACCAGTATGATTTCTCTATCAATTGTTTCGGAAATATCTTTTCTATACTAATGATACCTAAATTGTTGAATCTATTTTGCAATATAGATGACCTCAACCATATTTTTATTCTTCTCATTGCTGAAAAACTATATTCACATGTAGATGAACTTATGGGGAAAGTAAGTGAAACTGGCATAAGATTATATATGTTTGGATATATAAATCATTAGGAAGTACCTACTGAAGTAAAATCTTCTAAACTAATACAGCTTTTGCCAGTTGAAAAATGTATATAGTTTTTCACAACGCGTACATTTCTGATTGAACACTTATACTTTTTAGATTTTACATCCAATAGCTCTTGACAATAAACAATTATCTTTCATATAGTAATAGCATAATAAGAATAACTTATACAATATATAAAATAAATAAATTATAAAAATTCTATTTTGAACCCACAGGTCATAATATTTATTAATTCATTAATATTCAATTTTGATAGCAAGTTTTTAAACTAAAATTACCTTATATAAACCTTATACAAAAATCACTCTTTTTAAAATCTAATTTGATGAAATTGTCTACAGCTTCAACCATTTGAAGACTATCAGTTGAAAACCTTTTCTTTAAATTGACAATTACATAATAACATAATATATTATAATAATATTCTGTGGTGGAACCATAACACCAGATTAAACTTTATCTACTTTAAATCTTATTAGTTATTACGCTATGAGCTTTGGTAATTGAACAGAAATACGAACACACCAGATATTTTTTCCAATTTTTTTTTTTTTTATTTGCGTTGCAACAATATTTAATTGAAAGTTAATATTTTATTTATATTATTTTTGAGGGGGCTAATTTTTCTGTTTGTACGTTTTGAGGGGGCTAAGCCCCCTCAAGCCCCCCCCCCAATTTCCGCCTATGCTATTGACTATATTGACATATTGTGCAATATGTATTATTGATATTAATATTGACTACGATCTGAAAAAAACATGTATTATTCATAATTATTTTCAAAAATTCGTATATTATTGTCTATTATCTATCGGCAATGTGTATAATTGTTATTAATATTGACTATGATTTGAAAAAAAATTGTATACCTAAATGATTATTATTTGAAAAAACCCGATTTTATTATAATTTATAACAAATGTGTAAGTAATATTAAAACTATTATTACCAATAGCTTATCATTTAAAAACATTATTGACTATGATTCAAAATAAACGTGTATTACAACTATTGTAATATTAAATTAAAAATTAAAATTATGGTGGGGATATTGTGTATTAACATTATTTTATCGTACTTATGTAGGTATATTATGGCCACGGCAACCAAAGGATCGACAACGGAGCAGTAGATTCAAGATGTCAACCGTGCAGTGAGGCATATATTATACTATTATGATATTATACTTAATAGGACAGCATACTTATGATCGGATAATTCGGATATTTGGTAATATCTGTGTGTGTGTGGGGGGGGGGTTGAAAAGAATAAACATGTATTACGAGACGTATTGTATGTTGTTTATTATTACTGTTACGGAAGTATTATTTAATCTTATATCGAGGTACTTAAGATCCTCCCTCAAAAGTCAAAGGGCCGTATATCATTTGCGCATCGTCTGTTTACCTACACTAAATTATCGTACATCATATGCGTATCAAAATTCTGAACAATAGAAAGGTATAATAATAATTGTACACACATATAATATTATATAGATAATGAATAATTTAATATACATAATAGGCACCAGTTTTTGTTCAATAAGCATTTAAAGTTCAAATGTTGACAAAATGTATCAAAAGCTCAAAAATGTGCACATTTTCTCAGTTCAATTAGGCACATTACATGGTCATAGTTATAGTAAAAAATTTACATATAAAATATAGGTAGTTTGAGTAAAAATGAATTCAACTAAATTGTGTTCAGTTCATTTACGATTGAATTTTATGATTAAAGTTAGAAAACAATGCGCTTTTGGATATACACCTTTTTTTCATTTCTATTATTAAATAATTTTGATTCACAAATTATGTACAACCTTTTAAACGATCGATGCGCAAACGATGTATAACCCAAAAATCAAACGATGCGCAACTGTCTTACAAAAGAGGTCAAAAATAACAATAGTGATGCGCAAACAACAACCGGCGAAGTCGAAATAACCACATTCGTTATCTACGACGTATGTTGACATAGAAACATTAGGTCCAGCAGAACACCAATAGGTTCGATATTTAAGGATATCAACATTATCTACCCCTAAATTTATCTTCACTTGTTTTCTCGATATATTAATTCTAATGCTATAGTTATGAGCATTGAGCATGTATACATATTAATATATTTTTACGTACAAACATACAGTAACATTCTTATATTTATCACTTAAAAATTTACCGTAATGTAGGTACATAAGTACATTTGTTTTTTATTTGTTCTCATGTCACGAACTCGCTAAGGAGAAAACTACAAATTGTGGGTGAGGCGATCACTCGATCAAATATGTAAAAATATGTAATTAAATATGTAATTATCTTTTGGAACTCTAATTTTCGAGTAGGTATACATTTTCGCGTTACCTATACTTAGGAATCCGAACCAGCTTGTCGTATCTATTATATATTATATTATGACTGTAGAGTTTATTCTTATTATTACGTATTGTGCATACAGCCTGCGGTGTTGGATATCCCGGATCGAGGATCGTGGGTGGCAGCGAAGTCAGAGGGAACGAATATCCTTGGATGGCATCGCTGTGGAATGTCAAGAAGAAATTCTTTTGCGGCGGTTCCATCGTCACAGATCAATACGTGCTAACGGCTGCCCACTGTTTTAGGTAAGCGATTTACCTAAGGTTACCTATTTACCTAACTACGACAATCCCTTAGAGGAAGATTTTGCATTTGCAGTTGGTCTTTACTCTTTAAGTATAGGTACACATAAGTCATATATGCACCGAAGGGCCAAAACACCTTTTCCAACAGTCCTATTAATCAATTTGATATAGGTATAGGATTATATAAATAGTTTTATGAAAAAAAATCATTACATTTCCACGTGCTATAAATATAGAAACAATCCCTACTTCCCTTCATAAATTAAAATATCTATAATTTCTCATTTCTGTCGAATTATCTTGAAACAGTGTTAACGTAAAATCTGCATTAAACAAATCAAATACTTTTTATCCTTCATAAATAGAGCTCAAACTTAAATGCTTTTAAAGTTTAAAAATGTATCAAAAGTTTAGTTTAAATTTTCTATACACAATATCAATATGATCAGTGGCGGACTGAACTTAAATTTTAAATAACGCATTTTCATAATTAAGTACTTACCACCACCGCCACCCCCTCCCCCAATTATTACTTATAAGTTATGATGTAAATAAAACGTGTCTTAAAGAGTCTTAGCATGTAATTCTGCTCCACAGTTCCGCGGTGGTACCGCACCCCCTTTAAAAAGTTGACACAGCTGCGGCAAAATACTAAAATAGAACCCTTCGACCCGCACTGAATATGATTCTCTACCCTTCATTTTATAATCAGATAACAACAATTATAGATAGGTATAATAATAGTATTTTAAAGTAAACACAAGCATTGCAATTTAAATTTTGAAACATAAATATTAAATATTGATAATCTTGATTTCATGATACAAAATTAAAATATTAATTCAATGTCTCTGATACTGTATTTTAATTTGAGAAATGTAGAATCTGCATATTATTAATTATTAATACTATTTATTAGGTATATATTAAAAGTTGTATTAATTACCAAATAATATGAGTAAACTCAGGAAATATGCCTCTTAGAATTTAGAATGAAAAAAATCATTACAAAAATATAATATGAACTAATAACTTTTTATTTTCCATTCGTTAAGACATGCTTTTTTTAATTTTTAACTTATAATATAATATTATACTATATAGCAATAATAATATGCCTAAGAAGCCTCGCAGGCTGAAAAACAATATACAATACTTTTGCAAATGCGCAACTAAAGTCCTCGAACCTTGCAACGCCCCTGCTCATGAATGACACAAATACACAATATATGAAATGAAATCCAACTATTTTATAATATTTAAACATAAATACGTCCCCCCTACCCACCACCTACTGATTATCTAACCATAATAATAATAATATAAATTATGATCGTCCGAACGTCCAAGCGAAGTACCGGCTACCAATTATCGAGAGATACACGTTGTGCTCGGGCAGACCAGAAGGCCCGGCAGGCTGTATCCGGGCGGTCCACACGTTATCCGAGCTGCAGTAGTGAAGATACACCACAAGTATGACCGACAGGGGTCGAATGTGCACGACAACGACATAGCGCTGGTCAAGATGGTCAAACCAGTGAAATTCGAACGAACCACCCAGGCCATTTGTCTGCCCATGATCAGTAAGTGAATAATTCTTATAAAACACGAGCTACACTGCATCGGAACGTTTATTGACAACGCGTAGTCTTAAAAAAAAACAATCCATATACATATAATATTTCATAAGTTGTATTCCCAACTATTTATTTATTTTTAAACCATACTGCATAATTTTCACGCTCACCGTAAGTATTATAAATATAATTTACAAGATTGAATATTCTCGGGGAATTATTATTAAAATATAGTGGATACTTACCATATTTTTAATATTTGAAGTGAATAGACTAGAGTTGTGTTATACGTATACCTATAGAAGATATACAATAGGTTTGTGCAAAGCGAAAGCACAAACTATATACGTCTATGCGCCAGTGTTGAGCCGAGATAAATATAAAGATAAATTATAATAATTTTATCTAGATAAAGATAAAGATAACTAAATTATTTATTTAAAGATGAAATATCGGATAAATTTTTTTTATATTTTTTTATGGCACTCTCCGTAAGCTCGTAGCAATATATGTATAATAGGTAACTTAATAGTATATTTTATCGAAAATGTCGATATTTATTACTTATTAGTAAATACAACCTACTTAATAAATTACTTAATTGTCTACCTATATTCTATAATAAATAAAAGCCGTTTAATAAATTAAATTATCTGGATAAATTCATCTAGATAACGGTGATTTTTATCTTAGATAACTGTGTAAATTAATATTTTCTATTTATCTAGATAAGATAAAAGATAAAAGATAAAAGATAAAAGAATATATATCTAGATAAATTCAACACTGATATGCGCAGGTGTGAATCTAGAAATCTAGAACTGGTGCAGGGGAAGCCTAATTTTTTTTTCAAAAAATCTATGAATATAATTTAGCACAGAATAGGTATGGGTGGTATTGGATTAGGTATATTATATATTTTTCAAAATCACGACAAATTAGACAGTATACTTAAACATAATATTTTATATAACACATCCAAAAGGCAGGCCTGACTAGAAAGGGGGAAGAGAGAATTCCCCCCGAGCCCGGAAATTTGGGGCTACCACTTATTAGGTACTCTATAAAATTAGAAACATTTTTTTACTGCCAGTGACTTCAATTACTACGTTTAGTAGGATGTTCCGATTTAAATTATGAAAGCAGAATTGAATTCTCCTCTAAATTTACTATACTTTGACTGTCGTACATTTTAGATTCTGAGTGGAACGATGAATGCATTGATTTAAATTTTACAATGACGTGTGTTTTTATTTTTATTTTTTTTATTTTTTTATTTTTATTTTTGTGTCTGTGTCCACGATAAGTAGTCGAAGTAATGCTTCAATTTTCAACTTCAGTATCTATTGTTCAATTGAAAAGTGAATATTGTTGGTGCATTGGGAGGTCAAAATTTAAAATTCACAGTAATTTTCAAAAGCTCCAAGAAAAAAAAAGAAAAATTAAGGAAAAAACGGGAATTTTTACACAAAATCGATTTTGTGTTGTGTAACACACAACAAGTGTATAATATTTAATTAGGATTAAGTAAAAAAAGGTGACACAAATGTAATATTATCAGTTTTATATTATTTAACTTAACAAACAAACTAACTTTAAGATTCTGAGCCTTTTTAGTATACATCGAGTCACAGAATAATACAAATCGTAATACCACAATATTAGATACCTACCTATACTATATCAATAATAATAATGGTCTTTAGAAAAATTAACGTGCTCGAAAGTTTAATGCTGCGGGTCGATGAACGTTGGACGTACTATCTGGCTGTCAGGCTGTATAATAGTGTAATAGGTAGGTACACGTCGTCACCTAGGAGATTTTCGAATTGATCGATCTCTGTGTTGGAAGCCTTGTATTTAGCTCATTAGCAATTCTCAATTAAAACTGACACATATATCTACGTTCAAATCAAAAATGGATGTCAACAATAACAGCAGCGAGGTACAGGTCGCATTACTCGAAATTTTCGAAGTAATTGTAAACGGTATAATGGAACGCCTTTATGAAGATGAAAGCTACGACGAAAACCTCATTCGAGTTGTTACATCTCTTCCGTCTCCCATTCGTATGGATACGGCTTCCAGTGGTGACGTGCAGTCCCCAGGGTCAGAGCCCGAAGAAACCACTTCGACTCCGGATGACTCTCCACTAGAAGATGCAACCGGAAAGGACGACGAGAACGAAGAACATTTTGAGGATTCAATTGTCTTACACACTGAATTGCCGGGTGGCGACGCACCGTCCTCGGAGTTGGGGACTGTTGATGACTTAGTGATGCTGCAGAAGACGTATTATGTGCAGATATTGAGCATCCGGCCAAGGAAATAGCTGTGATCGATAGTGAGCTGATCGGCAAGGAGGGGACTCCTGGAGTAGAAGGCGAAAAACGCGTTTCTCCAAGTAGAAAATCGATGTGGAAAAGTGTAAAACGTGTTTTTCGCATGTTGTTCTGCTGCGGCTGTAAAACCGCCCGGAGCCAACACAACTAGCACAGTCCACTTGGGCCGAAGACGACGGACAGGATGACAGCGACTCAATTGTTTCTGTTTTTGAAATTATGTTCATTATAATATATTTCATATTGTTTTTGTTTGTTAAATAAAAAAAAAATTGCAAACACAAAAAACTATTGTTGCTTTTTTTCGTATTGTCGAGTGTATAAACTATAAATCAATTTTTACGACTTTATAATTATTGACTTGAGTTGTAATATCCTAATCTGAACAAATCTTGTAACAGGTATCTGTTACTGTACTTTGAAATCACCTTTCGACGGTATGTGTATTTTAATAGTTATACATTAATTTAATTATAGGCATAACCGCACAATAGGTGGGGTACGAAACCACGTATTACATAATAGGATATTGATAATTAATAACTACAGTGGTAGGTTTTATTCTATAGGTGTAGGTAGGTATTATATAAAATAGCATTAATGTTAAAATATCACTACCTACACAAGGCTTTGACGGCTACAAATCAACTGTTTTTATGTAGTCAGTACAATCGAACAATACTAATTACCTACTAAATAATTGAATCATTAAAATCATTACCTGCAGTACCTACAATATTATTTTACTAGTTAAGTTCAGCAACTGTAATACCTACCTAATTTTTAAAAGTGAAGTAATGTTTTTTTTTTGAAATTCCTATACGGCTATACCTACATTTTTGATTTCTCATTACCTCTACATAAACCGTTTATCGTCGTTATGATACTTAGGATACGACTATGGTGGGTTGACCGCGGTCGTGGCCGGATGGGGGCAGTTGAGCGAGTACAGCGGCACGTCGCTGAGCCTCAGGCACGCCACGCTTCCCGTGTGGACCGAAAAGGAATGCGCCGCCGTTCCTGGGATCGAGAAAACGGGATTCACGCCCAACATGATGTGCGCCGGGCTCCGGGAAGGAGGAGTGGATTCGTGTCAGGTACCTTAGTACCCATATTATAATAACATAATATGATTAATAAAGTAATCAATATTTCTAAACCTATTTAGGTACCTAGGTACTTAAATACTTAATAATATAGTAATTTTATGTTACCTATATGGCTACTAGGTGTTGGGGTTATTGTAAACTCCGCCAGAATACTGGTTAGATAGAAAGGTAGGTAATGAAAAGGTCTAATGTAAACTCCATCAGTTTTATTTTCTTACCGGGAATGGATGTATTATGGAAACTCCGACAGTGTTAAGCTTAAGGCCTTGCTTACCTATATAAAATTAAATAATATATCTCAACTGAGTAGGTAGCTACCTAAAAACAAAAATTCAAAATGAAAAAAAACCAGACCCCTCCCTGATATACCTTGGCCCTTTGGTGTATCAATTATTGAACGTACATATAGACATATAGTTCAAAATCAAGGACTGAATTGTAACTCTTAGGTTAAGAGGTTTTATCGTAAAGCCGCTGCTAGAAAAAATCGACCAAGCATGCGGTTTATCTTTGAATATTGGTCATTGAAGGTTGAACAATAATTGTTTTAGGGCGATAGCGGTGGACCTCTGATGCTTTATGATAATAGCGAAAAAATAACAGTGGCAGGTAAGCTTACAGCAAACAATAATGTTAGATTATAATTTATAATATCTTTCAAGTAATATAACAGTTAAATACACTGGTATTATGGTATTTACTGTGATTGTGTAAAATGGTTTATTTTTCAGGAATCGTTTCCTGGGGCATTGGGTGCGGAGCTCCAGGACTCCCAGGAGTGTACACAAGGGTCGACAAATATCTAGGATGGATAATGAGAAACACGAAGGACAGTTGCCACTGTACAAACTGAACCCAGTTTTCATGACCATTGAACACTAATGTAAAAATCTGAGTTTCCATTGCTTAATTAGGTAATATTATTTATATATACCTACCTAATATAATATACGACTCGTATTAACACTCGGGTTTGCTTGGTTTACATATTTTTATTATGAATTCAGAATTATGACAAATTCGCATTAAGAAAAAAAAAACATTGAATAACTAGGTATTTGAAATAAATACCCAAATTAAAAAAAATCTGGGAAAGTCACTCAGTTGTGTAATAAATAGAATGGTAAATGTAAAAATAAAATGTAAACCTATAAAATATGTATTGGATATTTTAATCCAGACACTGCTGTGCGTGGAGTGGATAACTTAATGCGTAGGAATATATAAAGAACAAACATAGATAGATGATTATTTTACTTTTATATATAGAGATGTATTAAGTATATTATATAAAATGTCCCCTTTTTTTTGTTCAATAAAAAAGACAAAACTATTTACTTATTACAAATTTAAGTATTTATGTTTTTTTTTTGGACAGTTAAAAGTTAAGATCAACAGTTTATAATTAATATCAAAATAAAAACTAAAGGTTCCTAAAAAAGTCGTAAAATTTATATATACATATTTTCATCACAGAATTTTTTCTAACTTATTAATATATATCCCATTACAAATTCGACAATTGTTATAGGAAATTCTTCAATCAACAACCACTCAACATCACAACATTGAGAGTCTAAGACTAATTTAGTTTTTGCAATATAAATCGCTGAAGATAATACGTTTCATCAAAACACAGTCGATCCATCATCAGTCTCTACTTTCAAATAACTAGAAGTATTTGGTCGCCTTCGGTGGTTAGTACTTCTCCGTCCTTCAATTAAAAGTGCAATTATCTGAAATGAGATAACGTTATACGTATAAGAATAGTTTGAAGAGAGAAAGAGAGAGACAAAGAATCTTTTAGGTAAACATATTTATTTACAATATGTATCTTATTTATTTTTGTTAGATAATGTTGTATAGTTTATTATTATTTTCTTAAGTAATGTCCTAGCTGGTGAGAGCGATTTCTATTTTGACCCTGGTGCACACAGTGCATTGCCCGCATGCGGATAAATACAAGCTATTTTGTTTTCCCCGCATGCGTGCTAATCAGCTAGGACACAGCGTTAAAATGTATTTACAAGTCACAAAAACCTTAATATATTCAAGTCAATGGTTATAGTTTTAAAAATTGTTTGCTTACTTTTTTCTTATTGTATAAAGCTAAATAAAACAGCATTGATAGTATAGTCATTATGCTGAAGTAGAAAAGGAAGTGTGAGTCTTCTGTATCGCCAAACGCACGATTTGGAAATTTAGGCTTAGGACCTAATCTTGATACAACTTCTTTGGTCTCTGCAAAAGTATGATGCATGTATTATTTTAATTTTAAAATACTTAAGATATATGATATAAATAAAAAATGAAATTATTGAAACAATATAAAATACTTCATTCACATTTTGTATAAAGTATAATCTAAGAACTGTGGTCATACAAACTATTTGTACAGTATATCAATAAAATTGTATTTTGTTAATTTAACAGTTTTAATAAATTATATTGTTATATTGTTTCAGACATATTATCTACTCATTGCAATAATGATTTAAGTAAATTTCTCTATACAGAGGTATAATATATTATAAAACAAAATATAACAATACATTTAAATTAGCTTAGTTAATATAGTGGTCAAAAGAATCACAAACTAGTCATAATTTTAGTTTCATAAAAATGGTACAATAAACACAATAATATGATAAACTTGTTCAGTCATGCCCATTATCTTCTTAAAGAATAAATAAAGAATAAATATAATCGATCAAAGTGTGAACAAAATAATTTACATTTTTAGTTTGACATTTCAAAAAAAAAAAAAAAAAATTAAGTTTACCTGATTGGTTAATGGTACCCTCGCTCTCTTTAGGATAATCCACACTAGATTCTAAAAGAAATAATACATGTATAATATTATATTATAAATATTACATTAAATCTTAGATGGTTTTATAGTAATGGATATTAAATAGGTACTCACTTGAATCAGGTTTAGAATCGATTGGAGTTTGGGCCTCTATATCTTCAATTTGTTTTTCATCTTCAGTAGTAGTTTCATCATCTTCAATGTTAGTATTGATCTCCTTTGCCATTTCTTCAGGAAGTTCCTCATCATTATTACTATCATTATTGACGTCAACTAATTTTTGAGTATTGTCTACCTAAATAATATTTTAATCAATTATTGAATTAATCCGAACATATATTATGTCCATATAAAATTTTGTTGACATTGGTGTATTTAAGAAAAAGTGATGTTAAGTATAGTTGATTGAGTCTCTCACGCAGTAGACTGAACAAAAATAATACCTATTATTAACACGAAATTACACATTTCACACAACACAATCATTAAGTAAACAATCAAAAAATATTTTTTTTAGTAGCATAGGTATAACTTCAATTACTTCAATTTCAAAAGTAGAAACTTACTAAATAAACTATACAATATACCAAACTTATTGATCAAGAAATGGTAATAGATATGGCTATTTTTAACAAATATTTTAAAATAATATTATACTTACGATTATTTCTGGAGATTTATCAACTTTAATTTGAGGTAGGACCTCAGGTTTGTTCGGCTCTTCAATAACGGTACTAGGAACAACTGATTCTTTGACGTTTTTAGATGGATTGGCAATATTTTTTTTTAAAGCTAAAATCAAGTATTAAATACAGAATTGTGCATTGCTAGTGTATATTAAATTTTAATATAACTTACATGTTTTAGACTTTTCCAAATAGCTATTGTGTAACAGTAACACCTCTACATTTAAAAATTTACAATACGTATGCAATTCATTATTCAAATTGTAACAGACCTTATTCCATTTGGTTACATTGTTCAATGGATCCATTAGTAATTTCATTGACTGTGAGATTTTGGTCACATTTTTCCACATGCCGTACATGGTTTCGTCTTTAAACTTGTGATCATTAGTTGTGTTTTTTGCTGCTTCCATGTCTATTGAATTTACGAGACTGTAGTCAAATTCATTGCTAACGTTGTAAATAACTGTACAAAAACACTGAAAAGCATATTCATTTTCTACTGTCTTGAAACTGTTGACGTCCAGTAATGGAAAATTGCAAAATTGGTCGAGATTCAGGTCTTTGAAATAGTTCAACAGACCCAATTTGCTAAACTTGTCGGCGGATGACATCATGAGTTGACTGACAGTCTTCTCGGTCGGTGCCGTCGACGCATTTCCTATTTGCAACGTGACGACGATCAGACCGGCAAGTATTAACCGTCTCCCGACCGTGATCATGTTATTGTTTCGCTATTATTTTTCGTTTCGGCCAAACGCGGTCGATCTCACATCATAATGTGGGCACAGAGTTTTGAAAAACTGAACAAGAGCCAAACATAAACGGAAACCGAGGAGGACAAGTTTGTCGACACACACCGCGAATCCAATGTCAACCAGTGATAATTATATTCCGAGCCGAGTAGTGCGTCATCAGATTTCTATTAAAAAAAAAAACCTATACAAACCGATACCTGTCGAGTTGGGTAAATAATACAAAACTACAAAAATGTAAACTCGAATGTCGAGAATAAATTATGCGGAATAAATATCCTATATCACTGAACAGACAGAACAGTGAACTTTATTATTGGAGTCGGTAGCGGCCAGCCGAAGTACTGTTAATATTGTTATCAGAATTTGTTTTCGTTTTTATGTTCATGCCGGTAAACATAACCTCAAATCATCTGACCGGGTAAAAGTGTAAAAATCACTGACAATGACTACATTATACGATTTTCGATAATAACAATATTATATTATTATAGTAAACACCAAAGGCTGAAAAGTAAAAACCTTTTTTAACAGATTTTCAGATTAACCGTTTACAAATCAACAGACCGCAGACACACAAGTTAGTAACCCGGGATCATAAACGTCCAGAATTATTATTATTATACTATAATATTTTTATTGTTTATGTTAGTAGTTGGTGTGAAAAATATAAATAGTTGACGAGTAAGTCAACTTTTAAACGAGAACTGTTTCGCCATCAAAATGGTAAAGCGCAAGAGCGAAATAGCTCTGGCTGACGCTGATCAGAACAGATCGATCAGAGAAAAGTATTTCAAGACCGACAAAGTAAGTTCTGGGATTATCGGTTGCTTTAAAGCTTAATATGTAGTTATGTTGATTTCGATTTTATTTGCTGCTTCTTTTGCTGCAGTCCAATGTTCGAACGTCCAGTCTTTTCATGCCCATCATGGCGCTGGAGGGTCACGAAGGTGATATATTTGCGACGAAATTTCATCCTGAAGGGGATTATTTGGCATCGTCAGGTTACGATAGAAAGATTTGTAAGTACACGTTTGTCATGGCGCCGTGTAGGTATTGTCTGATTTGTGTAAATTAATTTAAATTGAGTTAACATGTTTCAGTCATATGGAGCGTGTATGGTGAATGTGAAAACTTGGGCGTCCTCGCTGGCCATTCTGGAGCTGTTTTAGATATGAAATTCTCCACTGATGGAACGTTAATATACACTAGTAGTACCGATATGACAGTTTCTTTTTGGGATATTTATAAGGGCCAAAGAGTCAAGAAACTTAAAGGTATTTTATAATATTCATAGTTGTTTATGATAACTTATAAAGTAGAGAGCGAATTACAATGATAAGCATTTTTATTTGTTTTTAGTAATAATTTGAATGCATTTTTTTAGTATGAAAATGTTGAAAAGTTCACTAATAATTAGTTTTTCTCCAGTGTTATAAATGTAAATTTCAAATTGTTATTGCATTACTTTATGTAGCCAGACTTTAGACAAATACCTAACTATTAATTTAACGTTTTTATATTATCTAAGTAAAAATAATAAAAATCTATTGATATCAAATAATATGTAGAAGTTTCTATCTTTCATGTTTTTTTCTTGCCTATTACCTATTTGTATATTTTTTATTTAATGAAATGTAAAACATTTCTCTCTAACTCAATTTATTTTGTAGGACATACTGGGTTTGTTAATTCCTGTGACTCTGCAAGACGTGGACCTCAAATGATCACAAGTGCTTCAGATGATTGCACCATAAAAGTATGGGATCCTAGAAAACGAGGAGGCGATGCAGTTACTACTTTCAATAATAATTATCAAGTGATGTCCGTATGTTTTAATGATACAGCTGATCAAGTCATAACTGGTGGTTTAGATAACGAAATAAAAGTAATTTGTTATTTATATAATATAGTTTTTATTTTAAATTTTAACCAACAGCAGTGCTAACATTGCTACTCCAATATAGTATATCATTACTAATGTTTAGTATAATTATTTATGCTAGATTTGGGATTTACGTAAAAATGCGTTACTTCATCGTTTACCTGGCCATACAGATACTGTGACTGGACTTGAATTGTCACCTGATGGCTGTTATTTATTGTCTAATGCAATGGATAACAGTTTGAGAATATGGGATGTAAGACCTTATGCACCTGCTGATAGATGTTTAAAAGTCTTCTCAGGGCATACTCATAATTTTGAAAAGGTACTAATCTTAAAAAGTATATTGTTCTTAATTATATTTGTCTAATTTAAATATTATTTCATACTTATTTAATTTTAAATTGTTTTCTACTTTTTGTTATAAGAACTTATTGCGGTGTGCGTGGTCACCAGATGGTTCAAAAGTGTCAGCGGGTTCAGCTGATAGATATGTGTATATTTGGGATGCCAACACTCGTAGAATATTGTACAAGTTACCAGGTCATAATGGGAGTGTAAATGATGTGGATTTCCATCCAAAAGAACCTATTAGTAAGTAAAATTATTAAGAGTATATACTTTTATAAATACACTTGTTAGAGAGTAATAGCATAGGGATATCTCTGGGAAATAGGGCAATATTTTTAATTAAGCTGTAATGCTGTTTATGTGTATTTATTTTTGTTTACTGATATTAGTGATGATTTAATAATGTTATTAAGTTTTAGAATTTATTTACTGTTGCAAGAAAAGCTATCATCCTTTTATTATCATTGTGTCTATTGTAGGGTTTCTTAGGACTAAGTCACTTCCTACATTTTTCAAGAGAGCAAAAAAAATTGCATTTTATAGTTAAGAAAATTAACCTTTTGATTACTGAATTGATAATATAGTATATCTCTATCCCTGGGTGCACTGAATAAAATTATCTATTGGGAATTACTATTTTGATTGGAGATTTCCATTCTAAATGCTGTAAACAAGAAGAAAGTTTACACTCAGCTGTGTTTAGTGCTGTCGCGTATACCTACTACTTTAGTCATAGCGTTAAAACATTATTTAATTTGAAGTACAGTTGTTTTATTTAAGAAAGGAGCGTACTTGCAATAGTAGTAGTTTAAGGGTTATAAAAGTATGTTACCTTCTTTTAGATAATATAATCATAGTATAACTATTATCATTAATTTTAAAATACTATTCATACTATTCGTCATGATACACTTGATGTTAAATGGGCAATTTCTCGCCGCCAGCTATTTTTGGATTTTTTATGGAGTAGCAAATTTTCCTGGTACATATTTTAATAAATAACATAATTTTATCAAAATGGAAAAATAACAAATACAATAAAATATTATAATACTAAATACATACTATATTTTGTTATTCTAAAGTTAAAACCATAGCCTGTAATCAAGTCACTGCTAGAATAGGTTGTCAGACTTCTTAAACCATGATACTCAGTTGTGATACCACTGAAAACGATGGTTGCAAGTTGATTGACGACAAACTATTGAATTAAAAATATCTATTGATAAGCAGGCTTGTGCCATGTCTTATACTAGCAGTATGCTGTATATTTCCAAAGCCCGTGGTGTGTCATGCTATAACCGCATAAAGCGACATATAAAAATGAGGAAAGTGTGTTGACGTCTATTTATGTATGATTATTTATTGATTGGAAACAAATTATGTAGTGGATTTTTAATAGAGTCAGACAAATAAAAAAAAACTTAAAACCAGAAATTTATCAGGAAATCTAAAATGAGATATTTTATCAATAATTATTTAAATATAAATGAGGGTAGACATTGTTTCATTGTATTTTTTAGTACTTCACCACTAATGCCAACAAATTCAAAAAATGTTGTTGAAAATTATTAATACAATATGTGCATTCATTATTGAAGTATTAACTACAATCATAGTTAGTTGTTAAATTGTACATTTTATTTTTTCAGTTATGTCTGGATCCAGTGACAAAGTTGTATACCTCGGTGAGTTCGATTGAATCCATTTGAAACTGAACTGACACTTTTGTAATTTTAAATGTATGTTAAGATTAGCTTTTTCATTACAATGTATTTATTCAATTAAACTCAGAGTCGTATAATAAAATGTATGTTTTTATATTTTAACTATAGTAATATTTATATGTATTCATATTATTCAAAATACACATTACACATACAACATACATGTATAAATGTATAAATTATTACAAAATATTTCCTTTTCAGAGTATTGATATTTTTAAATTGTGCCTTAAACGGTCTAACAATAAATATTTTCTGTAAGGAGGTATAATAATAAACCACTGGTTTCAAACTATTTAAATGTTAAAATAAGAATACTATTTTGTTGAACATAATTTTCTTCTTTGTAGGTTCTATAAGCACACAATACAATACAAACATTTCTTTACATTTTTTTTAAATGTTAAATTATTGTAGCTATGGCAATATTAAATGATTTAGTGAAAATCCGATGTAAAAATATTAGTATTTAAAGTCAACGATATGATATAATGTTGTATAACAGTTTAAGTATAGATAATCTGTGTCATAGTAGTAACACGAGTTTAAATATTATTATTGCATATTATTAGTTATTTTTTGATGATGGAATTTACGAACAGTATGTTATTAATTTACTATGACTTCTTAACACAATTCCAAGGAAATGCTGAACGCGACGTTTCTGTCTTACTCACTGCTCTAGCCTCAAATACTCTATATTCTATAACAGTATAATAATATAATAGAAACTCACTTAGAAACTGTGTAAGTAATATTCTGTAAATCCAAATTCATTTTAATTACACTTACCGGACTACAATTTATTCTAATGTTTTATTCTTTATAGTATAATAAATTAATAGTTTAATTTATCAAAAATAACTTTATTTCTTCGTGTGTCAAGTATTTTTTTCTCTATATTTCTACATGTCAGTTGTTTTTAGATGTTAAATAATATCAAGAACAATAAATATGTTTAGCATTTTAATTTAAGAACAAATAAAACACTTGGTTATTTTGATTCCTTAAATTATATGAGATTTCCTCTAAAAAATTGTTGAAAATAACATAGATACAGCCATGAAAATGATTATAAGTGAAGAGGGGGTGCTGGGGCGTAGCCCCTTTAGGTCTGTGTTGATTTTATAAATTTAGCCCCCCCCCAAAAAAAAACAGTTGTCCAAATTGCTCGTATGTGCTCTAGTTATATATATAAAAAAAAAAAAACAATATGGTGATACACATTCCACTGGTTTAGTCCCCCCAATAGAATTTACATAATTGTATAGGAATATACTATATAGGATACTGAAAAGTTTTAATTAATGATCTGTCATGATCAAATTGTGAAATAAGGATTTCAAGTGTCAAGACTTTAAATAGAATCAAAACATTTTCATTGGCCATATAATTACATATTTTATTGTTGATCATACAAGTGTATATTATACTTCAATTTTAACTAAATTGACATTGTATCTACTAACTACTTATTAAATTATGTAATATTATTAAAAATAAAATATAGAGTTCAAATAACTTATCAATTTTAAAAATAAAATACTTTTGTCTGGGATGTATGAAAAATGTATTAATTTAATGAACCATTAGCTCACTATTGATTCATTAAATTTTTATCGATTGTTCACGCAACCCGGCACTTGACTATTTTTCTTTATGCTCAGGTCTTATACATTTTAAATATGTATCTAACATTTATGCCAATTACAAATTTTCAATATTGTTTTATGTATTTATGGTTTATTAAATAATATACGTAACAAAATTATTTTTAACATTTCAAAAATACACACAAAATTTTGTAAAAGCTTTTCTGTTAATTTTACACAATAATATACTGTATGTTAATTATGTAGAAAATCATTCACCTTATTTCACGAAGAAGGTAGTGCGTTTATTTTAATGGAATATAATATTATTAATGGTAATTTTTAAATTTACCATATTATACATGATTTACAATATATGAATTAAAAAATTAAATTTTTTTAGATTTTTAAAATAGAAATTTAAATAGGGTTAATGATTACAACTAATATTAAAACAGTGTATAACTATTTAGGATGTATCATGAAGATGTTGAAAGACATATTTAAATTTTAAATAATATAATTTTCAATTGAGGCCTTCAGTGATGGGACTAACTCACAAACTTCTTATTGACTAATCTACAATATTTGAGTTAATTACATTAATACCAAACATACACCAAACAATTCCATACATAAACGGTCTGAGCCACTTTTACTTAATACCACTAGATAGCAGCACCTAAGCCGTTATTGCATTTTAAACTTTTAAAGAAGAGTTTAGTTTTACTGTAGATTATTTTAAAGTACCAAAGTTTGTTAGTCATTACTGCACTGAAACTGAAGCCCTCAATTTTAATTGTCTGATTTCCATGTCCATGATGCATCCAGTATATTCTATATTTATATAACTCTATCACAATAATTAACGATAGGTTGGCAGGGGTGGCCCCAGTGACACAGTTAGGGGGGAAAGTCATAATTTTCAGGAAATTTCGATAATTTTTTTTTGTAATTTTGATTTTAACAGTACAAAATTGTTTAGAAATACAGCTTGGAGGGAGAGGGGGTGCCGCCCCTGAAGGTAGGTATTATTATAATATGATAACTACCTAGGCGCTTAGTTTTGAATCAATAATAAATTATGCCACCTCGTTCAAACATGATATTACTATAATAGGTATACTATGTAGCTAAAGGTAGGTTTATATTATATATATTGAAATTTCCAGTCGTATACTTAGTATTGTGTCCTCACTTTTCTTATCATTGCGAACAATAACATCCTTCTTTGGAGTTTTCTTTGATCCAAGGTAAATATTTGGCAACTCTGGTGTATACTCCAGGATATCCAGGACGGGCGCATCCGTGACCCCAACTCACGATCCCTATACAAAACACGGATATCAATTGTTTTGGTTTCTGTTAAATACAAACAGTAAAATAACTTACTGTAGTCTTGTAATGACTGTAATTAACGGCCTTAAATGCCGGGTTATTTTTGAGATCAATAAAAAGAAAAAAAAACCGTATAATATACATTTTAATAGGATGTCAGCGAACTGTTTGTTTTCTCTTTCTGGCCCACGCAGCCACACAAACCATAGGTAGGCAAAACGCATTTACGCATGATTATTTTTTTTTTTATGGTTTTCAGTTATTTTAGAGTAAAATTATCTATTACTAAAATGATATAGAATAATATTTTTTAGGGTATGACATAGTATCGATTTGACTAAAGATTGACTAAAAACAATTTTAATTGATATTTAAATTTACAAACAATTTTTTTTATTCTGAAAGTCGTAGGTATATACAAAGTCAAATAATAATAAAATAAAAATCGAAAAGTCAAACCCTCAAAAATATAAATATCAATAATTTTTGTAATAGGTGATTTTATTCTAAGATTACTCATAAATTATGAAAAATGACTGCCTAGGTGAAAGCGTTTTAATTTATCCATGTTGCGCGTGGGTCTGAGAGAGAAAATAGATATTGCTCTGACACGAGGGCGCAATATAGTGAACAAAATATGGCATAAACACATGGTTTTGTAATTCAAGTAATACAGCTTAGTGAAGTGGTTTACTGTAAAAATATCAAAATTGTAGAGGATAATTTTATCCAGAATCGTAAGAGGCCCGATTTTCGATACCTATTTTTATTAATAGTTAAATTTTATTAATTCGTGTCGAACCATAAAAAGTAAGCTTATATAGTTAAATAAAGTTGATTAACCATGCGATATTGGATGGTTGGAAAACGATATCATCGGGCTTCTTACGATTCTATAGGAAAAATTCTTCTCCACATATTTTTTACTATAGGTACCTATTTAGCCATTTAGGTATACTGTAAACCCCTTCAATAAGCTTCAGGTGTTAGAACTATTACTTGAAGTGCAAAACCATGTTTTTCGGTAAAAATAATAATTCCGACATGTACTGCGCCCGTAAAAAACCGCATCCTTCGATGGTCGAACTCGGTTCACTATCATTCCGTTATAGGTACAATATATTATAATTCACGCGGGTTCTATATTGTAATATATTATATAGAATTAAATTTAGGCGGGTACTTAATTTAATTTGTACAGTCGTTTAGGTACACGATATTTAGTTTGCAATGATAATATAGATATACCTGGCCATTAGAGATAATTGATTTCGCTATAGTTAATAGTTAGAATTTATAAGCTAATAAAATCGTCAGATAATCCAGCGCCATATGCATAAATAAAGAGCAAAACAATACCAATATGTAAAAAATACGGTTTATTGCATACTCCAAAATCGGTTAACAATTTTTTTTTTTTTTGTTAATGTTTGGTTGTAATTGCAGCTTTAAAGCGTAATAGTTAAGAAAATAATAGATATAATCGAACAAAGATTAATCAATATAACTACTAATAACGATTAATCGTTAAAATTCTTGTCATTGTTGTTGGCATGACCAGAAAAATGTTGGTCAAAAAAAAATATGTATAGGTAGGTACCCAGTTAAAACATTAAATATGTTGGAAATATTGTAGGTACCTACATTTTATTTTTCATATAATATTTGCAACCAACAAATATATAAATAATAATATTAATTAAAATATAAGTACCTAGGTACTAATGTACTATTAAATGTTAAAACTCTCTATTATTATTTAATACAATTTTGTTTATTTCTTTCATATTTTTATTTTATAAATATTTTAGTGTACAGATATTAAATTTCAAGATACACAGCCACACAAAGTTGTGACATGTTACCCTTGGGTCACCAGGGTGAAGCCAACAGGGGCAGAGACCTCTATTTATATTACTTATAAATTATAATGTATATTATATTATAATATTATAATTTATATTATATTAAAATCATGCATTTATATGTTTACCTATACTATAGTCTATAATGCATACACGATCTAGGTAGGCAGTGGCGTAAACTGGGTGGTGCAAATGCAGCACTTGCACCACCACATCTAAAATGTGGTGGTGCAAAGGTATGTTTTTGCACCACCAGAAAATCATTGAAATATATAATATATAAAGAGGTACAAAATAGTTATTTTCGTGCATGTATTAGACATTATCATTTAAATTATTACCCTGTCTATATTCTAAAATATCGTACAACCCCCATAAATAGTTAGATTATTATCTATGGTAACCACTATCCACAGAATTTTGTATTTTATAATGGCAGTATCATCACAGAATCACGATTAAAGATATTATATCTTTAATCGTGCACAGAATAGAGGTAGGTATAATATGGTAAAATTATATTGCTATCAACATTCTACCGCCAAAATAGTGTGTTATCACTGGATCAATGTTCATTCAATTCTCAAAAGTCAAATGTCAGATGACAGCTATATGTCGTATTGAATCAAATTTTAAAATTCTCTACAGGTTTCATAAGCGCCAGGAAAAACAACATAAAAATTAAGAAAAAACAGGAATTTTTACCCGAAATCGGTTTTCGACAAAATCGATTTTGGTTTTTGACCAAACAAATGAACATATACATATATAATTGAAATATTCACTGGTTGGGTAAAAAAGCTTGGAAGTTTAATACAAGGCTCCAACTATATTGTTACAATGACATTAGAAAATTATTAAAAATCCTTAGTCACAGTTTTTTTTATAAGCATTTAAAGTTCAAATCTTTACAAAACACAGAAAAATCACGATAATTAACAATATAATTTGAGTTGAAAAAATCATAAAAATGTTTCTTTTCAAATTTAGGATTTTAAAATGTAATACAAGATTATTCATAAGTTTGTATACGCCTTTATCAAAAAAAAAATGTCCACAAGTAAATCAAATTAAATTTTTATGAGCATTTGAAAATCATATTTCTACAAGATTGGATTTTCACTAGATTTCTCATGTACCGTCAATCGAGGTGACTTGGAACTTTGAGGTGAAATGAAACACCCCGGTTTTTTTTTAAACATATCAGGTTATCTATGAAACAAAATGATATAATTTAAATCTGCCTGCATTTAAATTAAATTTACAATATTTGTGATAATAAATGTTATCATCAACCATGTGGTTGGTCTTATCATTACCACCGAAAAAAATAACCAAACATTTCTTATGATAACAACGATTTTATCATTGCTCTCAAAAGTGCTTCAAATGTTGGGGATTGAAGTCAAATTTAAATATTTGTATATTTTTTATACATTAAAGGACCCTTCAAAAGCAGACTTTTGTAGTTAAAAGTCCTTTAACATTTTTTTCTAATTTTATAACTTAAGTTTTATTTTACAGAAGAAAATTGAGGGTGACTTGGAACACCAAAAATGCCAAACAAATACGAGCGTATACCGGGTAGCCGGACATATATAAATGACAGTGACGAAACACTTTAACAGGCCCTCGATGATATTTAAAATGTATTTGTGTTTATTTTGAAGAACTATTTAGTTATGTTTTTCTATTTAGAAAGAATTTTTATTTTGTTTTTATCATGTTATTGATATTTTATTATTTAAATATTTAGTTTACTGTTAAAAAAAGATAAATTTAACCTGTTTCTTTTTAATATTTATTTAACATGTTCTTGTGTTAATTTTTAAAATAAAAATTTTGTTCCAAGTCACCTCTAACGTTCTTGAATTGAATTTCACATTAAATTTTCATAGCTGTTCCAAGTCACCCAAAAATTGAGGTGACTTGGAACACGTACTTTTTACTTTTTTTTAAGTTCAGTTTTGGTCAAAAAACTAAATGAAAGGTCTTATCCTATTCATGAGACGTATGCAAACATTTATGTATTTTTTGTAGTCCAGTGCGATTTTTTTTAAGCTCAGAATAACAAGAAATATGTCAAAATCGTTCCAAGTCACCTCGATTGACGGTAGCGATTTTGTTAATTTGTTGTTATTCAAACAAATAACTGTAAATACATGAAAATTTTTATTTTTATATTTTAATTTTCTATACACCACAAAGTTTTGAAAATATTTTAACTCTCTTATTGAGCTGTTTCCGGACATTGTCATTTTTTAATTTTTTTAGTTTTTCTTTTCTATAAATATCAATAAAATTTTATTTGTTTGGTAAAAAGCGTGAAAATTTAATGGAAGGCTCCTGATATATTGTTACAATAGCGTTGAAAAATATTAAAAATACATAGCCACAATTTTTTTTTATAAGCATTTGAAGTTCAAATGTTGACAAAATGTATGGATAAATATATAGTTTTTTTTTGTTAGGAAGGATTTTACTTAGAAAGTTGGATTATTTTTGTGTTGGAAATTATAGGTTAAGAATATGCCTCTGCACCACCAGAAATTGGACCCAATTTACGCCACTGTACCTACATATAAATTATAACACTATACGAATCCAGTGGCGGATATCGGGGGGGGGGGGGTAATCGGTGGACCGATGAATGTATTGTATGAATATTATGATAATAATTGTACCTATGATCTCGAACCGTTTGTTTTCCATGAGTCTCATTAGCGGTCCACCGCTATCGCCCTGACAAGAGTCCTTTCCACCCATCTCGTGCCCAGCGCAAATCATGTTATCCGTGATCAGGTCGCCTGTGTAGTTGGTCTTGGCGCACTCCTTGTTGTCGATTATCGGCACGTCCACCTGTCTCAGGTGACAAGAAGGACTTCCGTTCTCGTACAGCGTACCCCAACCGGCCGCCTTTCCCACGCCGTTACTGTACGTGTCGTCTGCAACGTTATAATATATTCATTTGGTAATATTTAGTCGTCGTAGTTATCATCGATAGCAATATTGCATTGTAGGTCGACTTTCTTATAATAATCAAAATTTTCATATGGGTACCCATATTGGGCTTTGCGTTGAGTAAACGCAAACCGTAGGTGTTATTAATTACTATACACCGTGTTTGCAGACACTTGAAATTTATGGCAATTGAGGACTATGGCGATTTAAAATTTATTTTTTCGAAATAGTAGTAGCGGGTATCTGTTTTCTGTGAATCGTCAAGGTTGTTATTGTGTGTAGACGTGTACTATTGTAAACTCGAAACAACTATATAGGAAAACTTAAAAATCGAATCTTATTGAAATTTGAGTCACAGAAATAAACTTATATTCTATTAAAATTCAATATTTATAAATCAAACAGGGATAAAGTATTTCAAAAATATAAATTACTTTTAACATAGATTTGTCAACTTTGAATCGTTTATATTTATAACTTATAAGATTCATACTTATACAGGGCCGGTGCAAGCAATTTTTTATATGTAGGCAAAGATCAAAATTGCCGCCTCTTATTTTATCATAACTTACATAGATAAATGTCATATTATGTAGGAGCAAAAAAATTAAAAACTTTTTACACTTGTCAATTATTATATAATAAAAAAGAAATTACTAAATTAATAGTACATGGATTGTTTGTAAGGTATTACAATAGTTATTATGAAATACAATATTTAGTTATAATTTTTAAAAATGTATTTTTCTTGTTTTTGCTGACGCAAAATCTTTAACTAAATCGTCAATGTCAAGATCATTCGCAATTTGATTTTCAATTGAAATTGTTGCCAATCCAACTAAACGATCCTGTGAAATTTGTGATCTTAAGTAGTTCTTTACAATTTTTAATTTTGAAAAGCTTCTTTCAGCTGAAGCTGCAGTTACTGGTAATGTTAATAAAATTCTTAGAGCTACGTATACATTAGGAAATAATTCTATTAATTTGTTTTCACATATAAATTATAAAATTGCTTTTGGATCATTTTCATTTTTCAAATGTTTTTGTAATGTATTTATTTCTTCACAAAGTTTGACAGAATTTATATCAGAATTTAAACCGTCATTTGAAGAAAGTGCTAGCTGAAGATCTTTACAGCACTTCATTAAATGTTCATAATTATTGACATTAGAAATATTATAAAGAAATGAAAATAATTTACTATGGTCTTCAAGTTGAATAAATCGGTCATTTATTGATTGGAGCATATTATTGTCTAATATTTGATGAAAAAAATTTATTTTGAAATTCTGTTTAGAATCTGTTATAGGAGTATCACGAGATTCGTAATCAAAATGAGTTTTTCTACGTCGAGTTCGAAATTGATTTAACGAAAAACTATCTTGTACACCTACACCAAGTTCATTTGCTAAGTAACTTGCTTGTGTAAGTATTTTTTCAAAATTTTCATCACTACGATATTTTTGTAAAAATATTTTGGTATTGTTTATCTGATTGATTGATTCGATAATATTTAATGATATAGATTGTAATAGTTTACTAGTGACATTAATTTCGCATAATAAATCATACCAAATTACTAAACTACATAAAAATTTGAAACTTATTAATTTTTCAATGAAGTCTTGATAGATGTATATCGTATATGTCTTGATTTATAAAAAAATTATATTGTTGAGCTCAATAAAGAATGTACCTACACTAGTACACTACACTGTACAGTGAGAGTGAATGACACACAACAGTCTCCAATTGCAAAAACGCTAATAGAATTATTATCGATTAAATTGTAATGGCACAACATGCTTTGAGACGTTATCGCAATTCAGGGAAAAATTATCTGTATTATTTTTATTGAATATTGTTTTGGAGTTTTATCGATCTACACAATATGTTTGTATATTGTATTTTGAAATTTGTTAAAATCTAAAATAAACGTGAAAAATAAGATATTTGATTTTTTCTTATATGCCGCCTCTATATAGTTATAAATTTTGCCGCCGTAGGCTTGTGCCTACGTCGCCTACGCCTATAACCGGCCCTGTACTTATACAGACTACATGATTTAAAAACAATAGTAATGTTAACTTCAACGTAAAAAAATATCACAAACACTATTTCGAATAACCTTATTTGCAATTTTTTTTATGTTACGTTTATTGTTTATTTTTATTGCTACTCATTAATTATGGATATTAGATTATTTTTGTTTTTCGTTTAAAGGCATCATTTATTTTTTATTCATTATTTTCCGATATAACGTTTTGAAGCCTTGGGCTTAATAGGAAGACTTTTTTAACATAAATATGATTTGGGCTGGGTGCAGATAATTTATTTTTCTAACCAACTTTTTCCAACGCTTTGTTTATCACCGTGAAAACGAATAAAATGTAAAAGTTACCTAATTTCTACTAGCCATTGGATATATAATGTACAATTAATGGTTACTTATTAATACCTACATAATATATTTATGATACATACATTTTCTTCGAAATGGAAAATATCGTGCTACGTTTATGACACACGATAATTTGATTCCCTTATAAGTTATAGCCCTACTAAATGGCCGCTGCAGGCGGATCGCACTACTGTGTAATAATCTGTTTTAAATCAACAGTTCATACATTATTTTATATTTTAAAACATATCACAGCCACACAGACAAGGTGACCTCATCGGCCAGCCTAGGGTAAAAGCTAGTCTGGCATTTCCAGGTTGTTAAAACGGATTAAATTAATTAAATATCTCGGGTTTCGGGTCCAAAACGTTGTAAATAGTAATTAGTTTAATTACTTAGCAGGTTTTCCTCTAATCACCGAGATTATATTGACACCTTGCTTACTGATTGCAGAAAATATTCATAAATAATTATTATCCATGGCTCTAGTCCTTCGACGTGATTTGTCTGAATTTAGTTTGCATTATGTGCATGGATACTCATCAATTATTGTTTTATTGGTATAGACTCGTTGATTGATACACATAGTCGACATCAAAATGTTAAATTGAAGATTTTGAGTCATATTTTACTTTAAAAAGACTTGCAAAAGATACTTTTTAAAAGTATTCATGTACAAATGTCAAATACTGATACTTATTTTGAAAAGGCTTTAATATAAGTGTATTTGAATACTCAGAGAAAGTATCTGATTACAAATACCTTAATAAAGTATTTATAGATACTTTGAACATACTACTTTAATATGCTTCATAAAATATTGTTTACCTTATAGACCAACTGAACCAACTGATTTTGTTGTTTTAGATGGCCCTATACAAAACGTCCAAAAAAATACAACCCATTAAAAGCGATATGGGTATTGGGTATCTCATACACGATTTCTAGGTAATAAATGGTCAACATACAGCTTAAAATAACAAAACTACTATAAAATAAGTATTCACACCTAAATTTCAAAAATTACAAATATACATTTCAACGAACCCTTAAAATAGCCGAGTCCCTGTTCTCCAGGCTCAACAGCCCCCCCCACAACCTACCTTGTGGGGGTCCTGTGTGCAAGCATAGTATAAATTGGTACCTATATAATTTTATATAATATAACTTACTTGTATCGGTCGGCAAACAAACGGGCTTTATTGTAGCAGACATCGGCACTCGGTCGTTGAGCCTTAACAGCGCCAAATCGTTTTGGAAATTCAGGTAACTGAACTCACCTACGATGGACCTCAAGACGAATCGGGTTTCCGGTTTTCTGGTGGCATTGCAATAATCGTGTTCGCCAAAGGTGACTTTGATCAGCGGCCAAAAGAATCTGAAAATTAGCAATTATAATATTATTATTTATTATGTGATGTAGGTACTATGATATATAAATAACTCATTTTCAACCATGCTATATATTATATAGTATATACTGGTATACGAACGGAGTAATTTTGTTGTAGTTATATCCACCTACAGGATTATTATTTTAACGCTTAACACTTGAATAAATTATACTAAACACGAGTTCGGAAAAATAGTTTTAAATTATTATTATTTTTTCATTTTTGTAAAAAAGATAATTTTACTAACAATCTATTTTAATTATTAAGTACTTGGGTGATACAATAAGTAAATTAAATGATCAAAGAATTATAAAATAACATGGGGTTCACATGATCAGAGCAAAAATTCATGACGTAACTACAAATTCTGAAAGACATAATATAATATACAAAAGTAATTATAACATTATATTGAGTTACCAGTTACCTATTTAGATAATAATACCAATACAAGTTAAATTATTGTTTATTTTAGCTATTTAAATTATTACCTAATAGTTAAGCTGCTAATATTGTTTTGTTTAAAATCTCGCATCAGTCGTCATGATTACCTCGATTATACCTCACGCTCACGTGGAATCAGCTCAATCAGATAAAGCCTTATAGAAAAAGATACTAGAAAACTGCAAATTTGTCTATATTCTGTAAATAATATTAGTACATTAGGTACCTACTCTCTTATAAATTATAGTCAGTGGTTCTAACCTCTAGATTGATAAATACAATGTTACGTCATTTGTTGGGCATAAATTTGGTTTCAATTTTGCTTAAGCTCTGATGGTTAAAGCTCTAACGTTTTTAATAAAGACTATGATGTTTTTAACAAAAAAAAAAAAATAGTGGAAAGTAGGTTACCCCTGTCTGCAGCGTTGGATGTGCCTACAATACCTACAGTACTCTCAGTATAGTTGTATTGAGTAATTCTTTAAGTTTTGCTGAAAAATGTTTGTTATTTTGAAAAGTACTGAGCATTTTGTATTTTTGCCCCCTTCCCCTCCACAAAGTTCCGACTAGATTCAATTTGTTAAAGGAAACCACCCTCAAAGTGAAAGCATTTTTACTTCTCCAAAATATGGCGATGACAGAAAATAAAACACATATCATTGTACGCTCCGCTCAGAATCTAAAAAGTTTACCTTAAGGTTACCGGAACCATATAATTGTCATTTTTCTAGTTTCAAATAGATGTCGCAAAAATGTAAAATGAAGTCTCTAATTATTCGATCCCGACCGCTTTCAAGGAGTTCAATATAGGCAATTTTCTATGTGTGTGCATGTGGATCGTGTACACTGCTCTTAGTAAGTGATCATTATATAGTGTGACTGTGTGTAAAATAAATAGTGGTGCGCACCTCCACGTGCACTTACATGCCAATAACTCAAAATATCAGTTGCGTGTTTTTTCGGTCAAAAGTATCAATCTTTTGCCAATCATATTAACTAACTTTTTTATCCGGCAACATATCTGAAAACATATTTGAATTTTTCACTACATTTAGTTGAAAACAATTTTCTCACATTTTTAAATTAATTTTCAAACTTAAATATTATTAAAGTTTAAAAAAAACTTATAGTTCAAAATTCAAAAATCTAATTTTGAAGGGTTCGTGTGTTAATGTTAAATATCAAAAAAGCGCAGAGTCGTTTTCGAGAAAACTTCATGACGGATTCAAATATGTTCTCAGAAGTTTTATTCGACGACTAGGGTGGACGGTATAGTTGGCATAAAATAGGTCTATTTTGGTAGAAAACGGGATCGAAAGTGTGCGGTGTGCCGTATTGTATTAAATAAAAAAAACCTGTGCCTTAAATCTATGAACCATAGGTACCAATCACCGTTACCGTCGTTATACAAATGCATTATAGGTACCCTTTGACACAATGAGCAGCAGTCAGCACGTATCTGTCGTTGATCAGCGTACCGCCGCAGTAGAATTGATTGAAATAAGACAGACGGACCATCCAGGGGTATTCGTGCACGCCCGAAGGGTCACCGCCCACGATTTTGGTGTCGACGTTCGGAGATCCGCAACCTGTTTTTGATTTTTCGCACAAAACACGTGTGAGTATTAAATATTTTAAAGCTAAACGTTTGTACTCAAAATTCGTACCGAGTAGGTATGATATTAGGGGTGATGTGTATACTATATTTCAGCGTTTGAATTCTGCAGTTTAACAGTAATTATTACAAATATTAAACCATATAACCATCGAATATTTCATCACATTTCTCGATTGTTTAAAATGCATTTTTTTATGACTCGGTATCGAGTACTTACATTTTATTATACACACTTGTTGAATATAATTTTGGATTAGTTTTTAACATTTTTATTTACATTTGTATTTGCATTATAGATTAGTCTATACAATTCAATTTTTTTTTGAATTTTTAACGTTGTATCATTTACCAGGGACTAGGTCGCTATAGGATATAAATGTGTAATAACACCTAATATTATATTATATGATATAATATTTTCTTTTGGTTATCCACGCATCACTGCTGACCCTCGATACTGTACTCATATATTTTCTGTAAAATATTTATATTATAAATTATATTTCTGGTTACCGTGCCTATATATACTTATTATATTACGAAGTCACCTGGGTATTAATACCTCAAAGCAATCTTCAGAGAAAAGTGCAAAAGACTAGAAACGTCAAAGGTGCCTACCTATATAGTATATACTGTATTATTTTTCCTTGAAAACATTATTTGTGTATGACTATAAGAAATGTGTGATTTTCAGTCAATGAAAGGTGAACCGTGAGCATTACCATAATATAATATATTATACAAGGTTTGCGCTTTAAATCTATACGAAAAAAAAAATGAATCATGTACATTTGATATCGTGTTATAGTTTCTTATTTATTTGATAGGTTTATCAGTCAATAAGATTGAAATCATGTAAAACTATTGTAATTAACGTAAATTAAATTGCGTTCCAGCCACCTACAGGTTCAGTTCTTTGACGTTAGTATATTATATTTTATGAAAATCATTAGCAAACAGTTTTTGTTTACAGATATACAAACTAACAAACTAATTTCCAACTAATAATTTATTGTTAATATGGATTCGTTTAATATCTGGAGTTGTAACTTTTTAAACATTGTATTGGTTATGAGTTTATAACTTATAAATGTATAATAAATTAAAACTTGCTTACATTTTGTGAGAACATGGACGAATTTATAGGGAATTCAAAAGTTTAAACTTATTGAGTACCTATATTAATTATTAGTTTTAAAGATATAATATGATATGGAGCATTTCATTTCTATACAGGATGTTGCACGATAAACGTTTCAAACTTTTAGAGGTGTTTCTACTACTCAAATGGAATAAAAAAAGTCCTTATGACCCCTGCTTTAAAAAATAATTGTTGTTAGATAAAATTTAATTTTTTTAAAATTTCGACATTTTAAAGTTATAAAAAATTTGTGTTATTCTTTTCACCCAAAAAATCAGGTGGAAACCTTGTAAGATATGTTTTCCTAATTCCCATTTTATGAGATTTTCATCAATGTATTCAAATTAATTGTAGTACTTACGGCTTAGCAGATATGAAAATTATTATGAATCAAACTCGAGTTTAACCAAAAAACACAAACATGGAAATTATCACCCTTATTATTGATATTTCGATTATGGTCATGTGGACTTTTTTTGTTCCGTTTGAGATGTAGAAACACCTCTAGAAGTTCGCCACATTTATTGTGCAACACCCTGTATACTAGATCAAAGTAGAACTTTGAGCGATGCTCTTCGAATGAGTTTCTTTTTGAATTTCATACAGTTGCATCAAATTATTATGTAATTTTTTTTCTCAAATATTAAACTCTACTAAGAACTAATGAAAAATATATAATCTCTGAATTAATATAATTCAAAATAAATTATTTCAAATTTTAACTGATCTAATGATTGTAAAATAATATAGTGTGTTGGGGAAAATATAATACCAAATGTAATTAAACTTTTTTGAGTTTTTAAATTTTCTATAGACGTCCGGAGCTTACCAAAGTCGTAAACCAGCAGATTTCGTATAAACAAAAGTCTTAACGAAAAGTGGATGTGATTTATTATATTGGTAGGTGATTAAATTCAACGACGATGACCATCGGACATCTATAAATGTTTAGTTATATATACTCACTGCAGTCGCACTCTTCGCCATTTTTGGTGATCGAATTCACTGCGACTTGAGGTGTAGGTCTGCGAAATCCGAAGTCTGTGAATACGTTTCTTATGCCATGACCCTGCAGCGAAACATCAGTCGGATATTATATAATATTATTAGATCACTTTTCAATGTACGATAATAATATCATAAACATATGCAATGCACAAAACCGAGGGGATTCACAACGCATTTTACGTTATAATATATTATAAGTATTTTATAAAAAAAATGTATAGGTACTTGCCTGTTGCGTTGCACATGCTACTACGAGCAGAACGCCCGCGACAAACGAACCTTGGCGACTCGGTGTCATGACTGTGACCCGAAGCGGCCACAAGTATTATACGTTTAACGGTATCGGACATCGTTAAAATGTGCATGCACACACACACACACACACACACGTCTTGGATATAACAAACGGGAATCCACTTTTCTACACGCCAATTCGAGACCGACCGCCAGGTCCAGTAAATATATTATATACATGTGTGTGCGAGTGTGTGGGTATTATTAAAACGTGTTCGGATTGCGTAATTCGTCCGCGAGGCTAATAGACACGTTGTGTGTGCGTTTTGTGCGGAATTTCAAAAATGCGTCTGACGGAAGTACCTGTCATACGTATTATTATTATATAGGTACACCGCGAGACGGTGAAAGAAGAAGAAGAAGAAGAAAATATGAACGATAGGACGACGAGCATAATATAACTCGTAGGCAACGTATACGTCTTTTTATGTATGCGGACACGCTGTGATATCGCAGAGCTGTACATTATTGTACCGAAATATAATATCGATTGTACGTATTATTATTGTTCGTCGTATTATACCGCCTCCGAAACTTGAAAGTGAGACGGTGGTTTTTTGTCCGCAGACGGTTATGCACGAGTACCAATGAATATAAAATAATAGACGGATGAGATGTGTGTGTATTATATTATTATATTATGGTTTTATATAACGTTTTGTTCGAGTTTTTTTTTCCTCCAAACCAAACGTATATTAGGTACATGTTTTTAGACACGGGATGTAAAGTAAAAAATAAAAAATACAAGATCAAATAAATAATATAATTTAAGGACTTAGATAAGTAATAAAATATGTACAATACATTTAATATTCGCATATAGGTACGCATAAATTATTTGTTATCAACGTGGAATTATGGAAGTCCGGCCGCTATCTGACGCAAGCGCAGGTGTCCCGCATATTCTTTTGAATCCAATCCAGGTATTTGGTAACTCTGGTATACACGCCCGGGTAACCGGGTCTACCACAGCCGACGCCCCAAGACACTATGCCTGGAAAACGACGTTATGAATAATTACAAAAAAAACACGAATATAGGTAGGCACCTAAGCGATGTTTGACCGAATTCAATATCGCAGTAAATTATAGTGAATGAATCTTTCAACAATGATCACTCGTTATCCCGAAAAATATTTTTTACATAACAAAGTCACGCAAAACAACGTTTTTCAAATAAAATTTTTACAATATTGTAGTAGCTAAATTCAACTATTTAAGGTTTAAACACTTTTAAAAATTAACTAGGTAGGTACTAGGTTTGGAAATGAAATATTTATAAGTATACACATCGAAATTCTCAGAAAAATAGTCTGCTTTGGCACAGAAATTAAAAATGTATGCTGTCATTATCAAGACATGAAATACTTAAAACAAATTACAATGATAATAAAATAGGTAAGTACCTACTAAAGGTCCCCACACACTGCAGTTGTTGCGTTGGAGATGGCGGTGAATTGCTAAAGGACACATTTCACCGCTCATCGCGACGGTAAAGCTAAGGCAATAGAATTTAACGCCACCGCTGCAATGTGGAGGGGGGGCCTTAAAGGGGTTTTTTTTTAAATGTTATTTTGTAAATTGTAATGACGTTGTATGACGTAGTTGTAATTATGTGAAAAAAATATTTTAAAAAGTAAATATTATACTTTTCAAGACGGCGAGTGTTTACCGTTAAAAGAATAATCTTCTGTATCATTACGGTTATGTTCTCCACGAACAATATATTAATATTATACTCACCAACTATTTCCAACTTGTCATCGACATCGCTGTTTATCAACAAGGGACCTCCACTGTCACCCTGCAACGACAAGAATCAATATTATTAAATATGCTTGTATGGAATGGTGGGCGACGCGAGTAAGGTATAAAAAATTGTCGGTTTCTTGTAAAAAAAGTTTTTTTGTCCTAAAAGAGTTTCAAACGCATATTCGGACTTCCACTTGAGAAGTACATAATAATATTAGACAGTGATAACAATATAGCGATAGGAAAAAAATATGTAGATTAACCAACTGAAATGTATTACATGACGATGACGCGTATCAAATACTAAGAACGCAGTTATACATTAGAAAGTTGCTGAGTAGGTATTTCGGGAAAATTTCAGGGTGTTTCTGTTGCAGAAGTATATTGCGACTAGAAATATTGTGATAATAATATAACGATATATAATATAGATAATAGCAATTATGACCGCGTTGTGTATAATTTCATATGAATCACGGTTCTTCGGAAGTGGACTTATTCTCGGGACCACTGGCTTTTATCGTCTCAAACCGGTATAATATAATAAATCGATGGGTATGGTAAGTAGTAACAAAAAACTGCGATTTAAAAAAGTTTGTAAAAAACCATACAATATACCTACGCAGTATACAGTCGAGTGTATTTAATATGATTTATTCACGACAACGGCAACAATTAGCTGAGCTGTCGCAAGAATCGAATTAGTAACAAACCAGTGGGTGGAAATGCGATTATTTCACTCAGTCGCACCGACTAAAATAACAAACCTGACAAGAGTCCTCGACTCCCTTTCCGGCGCAAATCATGTTGGCGGTGATCCTCTGTGGTCGGTATTTTGAAGCCCTGCACTGCGCCAATGACAGGATTGGCACTTGGACTTCTTGCACAACGTCCGCTAGATTTCCACCTTCTGACACGCGGCCCCAACCGACCACGGTTCCCACTTTTCCGGACGGTTCGCGGGCTACACATGAAACAACGTTGATTAGATAATGTGTTTGCGATAAGAGTAGTTGGGAAAAGTCCCGAAACCAGTTGGCTGGTTAGAAGTAGGCGTTTTTTCGATTTTAATGTACGATAATATTTAATAAAAAAAATTTTTTTGTTATTATTGGACGTTAGCAATATTTCAAAAATTATACCATCTAAACTGTGTGGTTTTTTAAGTATGAAAAAAGTCATCAGCTGAAACCTTCAATTTACAAAATCATTATAAGCCCTCACAGCAGGACTATGCTCGGCGAGCAATTACACGGTAGAAGACGACAGAGAAGAAGTGTGGATTTGGAAGAAGTTAATTTATTATACTGTCGGTATTTATCGTAAGCCACTCGATTGTATCAGTGGCGAGTATAAAAAAAAAAAAATTGGTGTTGCTCAAATAATTTTAGGTGACCCACCCCTCATAACATCGTCATATTATTATACTGGCCTGGAAAATAATCTATTTTCCTTCTATATCAATACCCACCCACCCATATTTAAGGCGTTGCTTGAGAGACACTTGGGCCCTATATTATTATGTTACACGCCACTAAGTTATATTTATTATATTATAATATATTATGTACTTACTTGCTAATGGCAAACATATCGGTCTCACTGATTTGGTAAACGGTACCGCCTTCCGCAGCCGCAACAGAGCCACGTCGTGGTTGTACGAGTTCACGTCAAAGTTCCGATGACGCACGATCGAGGATACCATCCTGGTAATCGTTTCACCGTCGGTCGTCGTGCTCTGGTCGTGGTCACCGAATACCACACGTATACGGGATTTTTTCAATCTATAAACACCGTTCGTTATAATATTTTACAGTCGTAATTTGCTCGTTAATAGACGATCACAATATATATATATTTTATGTATAACTTGACTTGACGAGAGAGAATAAAACGCCGAATCACTATGTTTAATAATATTATGCGCGTGGTGTAGACAACTATATTATATTATTATTCCAAGTAAACTGCAGTACAGAGGAAAATATAAGTATTTTATCTTTTTCCAAATGCATGGATCCTAATCAGACGATAACGCCTGTTAATCGTTATAATTCGAAAACAAGTATATGCATATGTGTTTGACTTTCTCCAAGTCCCCGATTAACAATAACTGGTACAATCTCGAAATCACGCTGCCTGCATATATGTGTATACATTATATTTTATATATTACCTAGGTATATTATGTCTTGTAACGAGAACGAGTAAGAGTAAAAAAGCAAATATTTAACAGAACGCGGTTTTTACATCGATAAAAGCACATCAATCGTATAACACTATATTCAACGGTATGTTTAATTACCTGTTGTCTTCGATCTAATATAATAATATTATATACAATGTGATATTTTATTATGTAATAATTATTATTAAAAAAATTTATCTTAGAAATTGTTCTGATCGCAATCGTCGCCTTGTATCACTTACAACTGTCGTAAGTACGTTTTAAATTTTAATTGGCAAATGGCAAACACACACACACACACACTTGTATGTAAACGATGTTCGCGTTCCACGTGTGTTTGTGAAATGAAAATGTGTACGTTTCGCGTATTCGAAATTGTTTTTATGAATAATTTCGCAATGGAAAGTTATTATGCGCTCGTATAGGTATAAGGTACCGTGGCTATCGTATTATTATCTATCGGATGTGTATTATAACCTCGTTTGTTTACTCCACGCTGGTAGGTAAAGCAACAATTTAGGACGAAATCTCTCGGCGCGGCGACGGGGAATTGAAATATATGTATATAGTATACAAACGTATAATAATATAATATATTAGAATGACGGTGCGAATTGACGGTGGAAATGCAATACTATGGTTTTACTCTATGGTATTATACTGTTTATACCTCATCGGAGGTACACGTACGGCGGGTATATAATATCTACACACATACGGAGTGATCCTAAGTGGCTACTCTGTAATAATTTTCATTGTCAATTTGATATATTGTGTTTCTGATGTATATGTATATTGTATAAGTATTGCACACGCAGTTATTGAATAGTAGGCAGCAGGTACAACAGGTGTTTTAAGTATTATTACCTAACGCTACATTTTTGTGCGATTTACAAATCTTCACAATCGCGATTTGATAAAACTCTGAAGCAAAATAATTTCTCAAGACGTTTGACGCATAAATATTTCGGATAAGTATTAAAAATATAACTCAAGATTAAGTGAGCGGTGTATTAATAATATAGACACACACGGCATACTGTTGTTAATAATATAATATAATTTTAAAAAAAAAATCATTTTGCTTCAGATTATAAAATTAACAATATAGCAGACGTCGAAAATTAAAAAATCCTCAGAACGTCACAATCCAAAAAAATAGTGCTTTATCATTTTTTAGTGTACATTTTGTTGAAAAACAAATATCGATTAAGAACTCTATTTATGATGCTTAAATGAATCACCTCATATTATGCTAAATGAATCACATGTTTAGTAGGTACTTATACATATCTGACCGCAAGCGTTTGCGGTTTTTCGAGTGATTTCTATGGTGTGGTGGATTCGTTTTTACCGCACAAAATTACAATATGGGTGCCTGTATTATTATTACAATAACGGTTGTTCCGAAATCAGAGACAAACAATAATAATAATGATGATAATAATAATAATAATAATTATAATGGATTGGTGTCACGCGTAGCATACTAGCATGTATTAATGTATTATGGATTCATGATGTATTTACAAAACGCGTACGCTGACATATTATACACAAATAGTACTCGACAGCTTCTGAAACGGCAATGTGTATGAGTGTATAGAAAGTCAGGAAACCCCAAATTCGCGGTCTGTACCGCGTACTTATTGCTAGTATTATAACGACGACGAGACATTCGAGGACGGTATAATATATCGATAATCGATGGTTCGCAATTAAAAATTAATTTTTAATCATAAAGCGTGTACTAGTTACTAGTTACTACTACCTATGTCATCGACTATCGACCACCGCCGTACTACGAATTGAGGGTTTTAAAACTTTCTATGCAGACCCAATAGTTACGCGCATATAAAAAAGGCAACAGGTCTCTCTCTCTATCTTTGTCGCTCTCTCTCTCTCTCTCTCTCTCTCTCTCTGGTATACTACTATAGTAATATTATGTACACATGCGACTATTTATTCAAAATAAATCACTTAGTAAATTATCATAACTCGGAGCATGGGTTCTAGACTTTTAAAATATATTTCCTTGTACCACTTTTAGATTTTCTAAACGAAATACTGTACTATAATGAGTCTCAAAACTTCTGATGGCGTTAATTGTTCAGTTAATTTTTTTTGATTAGAACAATGCATATGTAATTATGACATATTACCTACTTATACCATTTTTCTGACTGAATTATGAGATTATTTTAACAGACTGTCTTATTGGTTTCCTTATTACGCCACTGCAATTTTATAGTAGGTAACTCTCTCCACCTGTGAATACCTATCCGATTACGCGAGCCTAATATGCACAGACACAAACGCAAAATATGTATGTTAACATTTTTATATCCTATCATTCACTAGTTATTGTTTTAATTAATCATAAAACTGAGTCTTATAGTACAAATGTACAATAATAAAGAAAATACATTCCAATATCTTCAGATTTCGATCAAATCAAAGTATACATCATTGTAGCTTGGTATTTCATAATAATATGTTGTAATCAAAATGAATGAATAAACAGTAAGTCAATATAAGTTTAGACCTTATTAAAGACGTATAGTATATATTTTAACAAATAATATGCACTCACTTCCGGACGCAATGAGCTGCGGTCAGCACGTAATCGCTGTTGATGAGTGATCCACCGCAGTGGAAATGGCTTTCGTACATGAGTTTCGCTACCCATGGGTACCTGTGCACCCCGGTGGGGCGGCCGCCCACTATGCGGATTTCTTGGTTTGGCACTCCACAATCTATAAGCACAAACAAATGTTTAAAATGTTGATCGATTTGAAACAATGTTATTGATCGCTACTGGAGCTATACACCAAGGGTACTGAATAACTTTTGCTCTAAGGAGCATTTTAAAACATGATTGTAATTGATATGACATTGGTACGAGTCATGGTTGAACAGTCCAAAAAACTGGTGCCTGAGTTTTATGTGACGATGATCTATGTTTGACCAGTTAAATCTATATATACTGCTTCGGAACATAATTTAATATGCTATATGCACATAATAATTACACAGAATCGAAATAAAAACTGACTAGAAATCGAGTGATAGTGACTTTAACAACCGACGTGGAAGACGGCTGAAAAAAGACAACGAATACCAAATGAAAAGCCCATACGATGAATGTACCCATGTGTCTTATATGTAATTTAAATTTATAAACGTTATTCGACGTGGGAGACATTGACGTGTTATATTATAAAACGATATAATACACTGAAACCGTCGGCGTCTATTGAATAAAACTGATTTTATGCATATTGTATATTATATAGTTGTATGCGTGAAAGAAACGGTAAACCGTCTTGTCAGGAAGTATTTCGGACGCTTTCCGTTACGAATTTAAAACATGCATTAATAGACACTATACGCGCATTTCTTAGCGACGGTAAAAGTATAATATAATAATATTATGTATTTACATCCTGACCCGAAAACCGTGTAGCGCACTAGCGCCACTGTAACCGGTATGGTCGGTGTTTCCGAAAATCGGTAACCAGGTCGAACAACGTCCTTAATAGCGTTTTGGCACAATATAATATTATTGTGTTAATAATGTGACATTAATGTCCGTTTATTGTATCGGGTATTGAAAGTCTCGCAACAACTAATAACGTAATCCGCAGGCATATAATTAAATGACATATTATTATAGTATGCACTCACTGCAAGTGCAGTTGGACACTGGTAACTTCTCCTCGGGCTCGTAGCTGACCGAACCGAATATGTCGTCAAAGAATATTCGCTTGTCGTCCTGCCTGTCGGGTCTGGACGTGCCGTCGTCGTCGTTGTTGTCCTGCGGAAAGAAAATGCAATCTATCAACACACGCAGTTACACACATATCTATAGGGTAAACCACGAAGACCTGACGGGTTAAAACGCCATTTCAAGATCTTCCCGATTAAACCTGTACTTATACGTCGTCATATAAGTGTAGGCTAGTTAGTTGGGTGTTTTGTGATTGCAATTATTAAAAAAACGTGTAACGATAATATTTTAATAGCACGTTATTTCAAGCGCACTCGTGTCAAAACGTCGTTTTGTCGTCGTCGTTTTCGTTTTCATACACACACGACGAATGTGTTTTCTTTCTTTCGCGGTGGCGGCAGAACTACTTTTACCGCAGAAATGTGACTCGCCGGCCCAGTCTCAAACCAGTCACCAGAGAGAACGACAACGAATAAGACACCGAGACACGATTATAATTATTATTAATTTTTTAATATTCGTATCGTCTGCGGAAACGCTGTGGACGGTTCGTGGCGTGCAGCGCTCACCCCACAGAAGCTTACCGTGGACGAGGACGCCGGGGCGGTGACCGATCCGTGGCCGACGGTCGAGGCGACGGCCGCGGTCAGCATGCACACGTGCACCACCATCTGCTGCAGCTGCTGCGACCGCATCGTCGACGGCGGCCGAGCACCATAAACGCGCGGTGGCCGCGGTCTGCGCGCGCGTTCGTCCGGTCCGTACGAGCGAGCTTCGGATAGCGATCGAGCGCGTCGTACTTGTTGGCGAGCGATCCGAGCGATGTGACGGTGTTCCAGACGCGTCGCGCGTATTACACACCGCGGTAAGTGGTTACCTCCTATACGACGTCGCGACCGTGTGCACACTAAACCGAGTTATCGCGTCGTACTGAGTGCCGCTTCCACTGAGAGACGGCGGCGGCGGCGGCGGCGGCGGAAAGAAAGTGCACCCGCCAGCGGACCGGACGCGAGTAAAAGCGGACGTGCACGCGCGAGGTATCGGTAGCTGGGTAATATTGTCGGTATTGTTGCCGTGGTATATACCATATACGTATATTATATTATATATATATATATATATATTATGTACCTACACGATAATAATATAATGCATATGACTTGTTACCGGCCGCCGTACTCTCACTTTCTTGCGGACGCGACGACCTTGAAGGCGCCCCGCCACTGACGGCCGACCGTGGCCCAAGCACACAATATATTAAGATAATGTGTATAACATAATAATAATATGACGTATACTATCGAAGAAAAATCTCGCCAAAACGGAATGTCACCGGACCAAAAAATAAAAATTTCGTTTTAAGAGCAGACGTTTTCCGTTTTGTGTTCGATAATCCAGTGGCGTGACAAGTCACGTCAAAAGACATTTTTTTGACAAGTCCAATTCCGTATTTACCACCTCACACTACCCACAGAGCCCTACTTAGGAATTTTGGTACCCGGAGCTCATTTTTTGGTTGAGCCCCAAAATTTGCCTTATAAATTCAGCTTTTTTGTTCAATCACATTCATATATTATTTTTTAAGAAATAAATAAGTAATTGTTAATATTTATTGATTTCAATAAAATATATATGACTGTATTACAGTAATATATGGAGGCCCTTAATTATGTTGGGGCCCGGGGCTGTAGCCCCCCTAAGTAGGACTCTATTACCTAAACAGTTGGGTCTGTACATGCAATACTTGCTTCAAACTCAAATTCTCACATGTATACACAAATCATATACTGCAATATTGAGTTTAAATAAAATCGAGTCTCAGGAAAAACATCGGAAAATAAAAATCTACAGTTAAAATTCTGCTTAGGTAAGCTTTACTTTAAAAATTATAATATAAATGTCTTGCACTCAAACTAAATAAAAATACAAATTACCTAGGTATTATAGTAGACAAAATATTTACCGGATCAAACCATACCAATAAAAAACGCAAGTAACTTAATTCTCTTTTCAAACTTACTTCGCCCTATTTTAAAATAAAACACAAATGTAATCCAAAAATAAAAATATACTCATTTACAATATTTACATTCATAAGACCAAGGCTGCCAAGTTAGTAAATATACGTCCTACACAAGCATTTTAGACCATCATCTTAAGACTTAATCACATTATATAATGTAACACTTAATGTCACATATGAGTCGCGTATTACACGACAACCACAGAAACACTGTTTGCTATGACGATTTAAAATTATTATCAGTCAACGAACTTGCAAAAAAATTATTGTAAAAAGTTCTACTCATAGTTTTAAACCACTTCAACTCTATTTATGTTTAGACATTTATGTCCCACTATCTCAAAACATCCACCGTCGTTTTAAAAGAAATTGGCCCAAAAAACTTACTATAATTGTTATAAAAATCTAGTAAGAATTGTCTCATTTATTGTACTACATATTATATATTATATCAGTGTTCCTCATTAATCTTATTATTTGCATTTGAGGTTTAACTGATATTGCAATGTATTTTATGAATAAAATAAATAAAAAGATGTGTTAATTGAAGGGGTGACTCATATTATTGTTAAGTTTAAATGCAATTTTCCAAGTGAAATAAATACCTTTGAAAACTACTGAACTGTGTATAAGTAACATAATGTCATAATCTATAATGTTTTGCTTTGTAAAATGATTTAATTATTGTTATGGGTGCTTATTATTTAATATTTACTATTTAATTGGTTTTCTCTGATTAAATGTAAAAGTTAAAATATCTTCTCATTACCCGGAACTTAAGATCACTGAGTTTGAAAAAGAAATTAATCTAGATACGTATAGTACGTCTACGTTCAACAGTAAATTACTATAAAAATTATAGCTAGAGGTTAAACTCATGAAACATTTTTATACGGTTTAATTATAACAGTATCAAAACCCTGACAGTAATTTTAGTACCTAATTTATTACGGATTAGACATCTCATAAACTTTTTACAAAGATGGATGGACATTTTACAAGTAAGTTTAGTTTTAGTGATTAATGATTTTTGAGATTTATGTGTTTTGTTTAGTTTTAAAATGACACAATATAATAAATAATAATACTATTGCACACCTGCACCAGCGTTAGTAAGTAGGCTAATTTAAGTTCAAACAGTTTGTTTGTTTTTTTTGTTTTTTTTTTTTTTTTTTTTTTTGGCACGAATAGTTTGGATAACATAACAATGTACAATTATAGTGTTCAACATTACGTGATGGTTTTTTTTTTTTACAAATTAATGTATTAACGTATATTACATTAATATTATAAGTCATTATAATATTGTGATGTGCGGCTTCACCTACTACGATCCAAGTGTATAATATATATATTTATCCCGCCTTATATGCACCACAATAAATATCTCAGCCCGGTGACCTGACATTGAAAAACGGCTTGCTGTGATAGATAAGGGGGTACAAGAGTACAAATTATCAACTTCTTTGCCCAATACAACTTAAGTTTTTTTGAATAGTAACCCTCATTTTTGTCACCAGATTAGGTAGCCAGATAGGTAGATCATTTTTTTCTAAGTAATTTTGATTAATTTACCATGGTCTTAAACGTAAAATTGACTGAGTTACAGCGGCCAACAGATTTTTGAAATGTTAAAATAATTCGATTTTTCCAAAAATAAGGTACACTTGTATTGAGCGGATTGTCTTACCTTGTTAAAAGTATAAACTACTTGTATGAAATTATATTACATTTCTAAGCCTTAGATATACAAATTTAATATATTTTCATAAATATCGAAGTAAAAGTGGTTTTGTCAAAATTCGAACTTTAAATGCTTATAAAAAATAACCCTGCCTATATTATACCGTTAATATTTTTAAATAGCTATAATAATAATTTACGAGGAACCTTGTATTAAATTTATAAAGTACTGAGAATTTTCAATTCCGACCTCCCTAAAGTACAAACTAGATCTAATTTTAGAGATATTCATATTTAGTGATACATATAAGACGGGGCCACTGTATAATGTATATACTTATTTTGTCTTATTTTCGTCTCGAAGTCATTAAAAATTAATCACAAAAAGTATACCATGATATACACTAATTATAAGGTTAAAATATTATTAACCAGTGCGAGAATTTAAAACCGACATTAAATGTTCAAAGGCAAAGATCCGTCATAATAATAATTAATAATACATAATATATAATAACATACTTTCATAAAATACTTTCGCATAATACGACATTAAGACTCTTTGAGTTCCCCAAATAGTTTTAAGCACTCAACGAATGTAAAACTAATAAGTAATCACTCTTGTTTGCAGTACCTATATAGATATATAACATAATATAATATGGTTGCAAAGTTTTAATGTATTCCGCATCAATGAAATTCGTCGGAAGTCAAGTTAGTGCAGAAATGTCACGTGCACACTTTTCTGTGAAGACGAACGTCGAATTTTGATTGACTTACAACCCTAAAGTTGGGCAAAAGTGTATTAAATAAACGTGCGCTTCGACCACCTGCAGCAGCCCTGCCTGTCTGCCACATCTGCCTGCCTATACATACACGATAAACACATATGGCTTACTATAAGCCGTTTGCTAACGTATACATTTTGTGCACACACAGTTTAGTATTTTGTTAGGTATGGTACGACGCGGAATAAGTTTTCGCTCGATTTGAATAATTTGCCACGATGGGATCGGTTTAAAAACGACCATTGCAGCATTTTTCTACTGCCCTAAATATGGTTATGTAGTGAGAACAATATATTATACAAAATACATTATTCGAACTCGTAAAAGTGACTATACTTCCTTCTAAAATGATTTTGACTCGCAATCGCTATGAATTTCGTCAATTCCTGCTTCGCACAAACATTATAAAATATTTTATTCAACAATGGTAAAAGTATGTACTATTCGCATCACGATTGGCGCACATTAACTCAAATCAACTAAATAAATATGTGATGTTTTTTTTTAGTTCTCACAATAATTAACTTAAAACGTGCGGAGTCGGTCATATACTGCAAATCGTATTTAGGTTAACTGATCGCTTACAATTTTATTTCGATATTACTTATAAATTATAATATGAAACCTAGTCTTGATTTTACGTATATGATACCGAGTAACACTTAACATCATAAGTTTTAGATAGGTACATCATTTATATTGTTATATAGGCGTATTCGTAATGTTTTCATCGATTGTGTTAGAAGCTTAAAACACTGCTGTAGAAACATACATAGACTTCAAAATTGTTTTAACTAGGTAAATCATTCATTACTAAAACAAAATAAACAACATCAGTTATGTAGAGACTAGAGCTAGATGATTTCTGTTATTATAATAATATGTTTAATGGTATACTCTTAGCTATAATATGACTACCAAATTAATGAATTTCATTTATGCTCTATAAATATATTTATGATGCACGCATATAGTTGAAAAACGAAAATAGAAAGCGTAATGTACTTTTATGACAGTAATAACAGTTTGGTGCTATCAGAGTTAAAAAAAAAACCACACATTTCAATATTTATTTATCGTGCCCACACGATCAAACTTCATCACGGAGCGTCGAAAGTTATAGCTGACCGTGTTGCGCAATCACAATTTTTCTACACACTATTTATATTAGGTTAAAATGTCTGTTGCACTACTCCGCGGC